TTTTTTTGTAACTAGGCATCTTTCTATACCTAATTCTATCTAACAGTATATTTTAAGGTAATTAACACCAACCCTAAAATAATGTGAAGACCGCACCCATATTAGGATACGAAGTTAAAGTTCCTTTTAGGGGGTGGAGGGATTGCTTGTGGGCCACAGACTTTCATAGATTCACCAGAACATGTGGACGAACATGGGCTCAGCCCAGAAGGGCAGGATCTGCTAACAGCGGCAATGTCACCCTAAGCACGTCATTACGGATTCGGACTCCCGAACCATTAACGGTGCTTTTGTGTACCTCAAGCATCGGTCAACCTCCTCGCTGAACCCGTCGCTTGCGACGAAGGGCTCGACGAGTAAATTAATCCACAGACACAGCCCACGGAGTTTCTCGCCGGATCTTCTCAGTGGGTCGCGTTTCCGATCCGGTGGTAAATTCTGCAAAGCACAGCTCTTGCTAGCGCCAGTATTAGCTACTCTTCCGGTTTGAGCCCCGTGATCTTACCTATACGTTAAGAAGATGCTGAAATAGCCTCTCCAGGCTATCAGTATAGGTAAAGAGAAAAAAATAAATGAGTGCCTTCGACGGAGAGAATCTAGGACAGCTGCTTCGTAAATAGATCTAGTACCGGATCGGAATCGCGACCCACGAAAAGACTCGTAATAATATCTCAGGATGGTTGTAGGGCGCGGGCTGATGTTATAGGCTAGGTTTGTCGTCGAGCTTGTCTCAGAGAACGGTGATCTGTGGTTTGGGAGTTATCAGTAGTGGCTTCCAAGAGAACTGCTAGTGGATCAAAGGTATACGTTAGAACAGCTTTTAATTGTATAACAACTATTTCACCCCACAAGCCGAAACTTATGGCGGATACTCTACAAAAATACCTTTTTGAGCCCTCCAACTGGTAGTAGGAGCTCTTGTGAGTCCGCACGGGTAGGTACCACCACTCCGCCTATTTCTGCCGTGAAGCAGTAATGCGTTTCGGTTTGAAGCGTGGGACAACCGTTTTAACTATACTCAGACCTTAGAACATATATCTCAAGGTGGGTGGCGCATTTACGTTGTAGATGTCTATGGGCTCCAGTAACCACGTAGCACCAGGGCCGCTGTGAGCTCATCCGCCCAACTAAGAATTAAAAAAAAAGAGCTGCTTAGATAGAACCATATTTAAATGAAACTGAGTTTTCGATCTGTTTCGAGACAGGCAGTGGCATTCACGTCTTTATGACTAGCCTCTAGGAGTCTAAAGAAAATCACCGTATTACTATCTCCATCACTCCACAACTGTAATATTGAAAAAGTTCAAGAGTACTAAAACCCCTCCTTTCTCCTCCTCGACAAGCTGATGCGAAGCGATTCCGCATTGATTTAGTAGAAGTCTCAACGCTATTGTACACATGTTCCCTAGATTCTCACCACTTCCAATCCCTGTTAAAGCAAAAAACCGGGGAAATAGGGGGCAAAAAAGAGGTAAGTGCTGACTTTTAAGTTACAAGAACATTTATTTTGTGGGATTATAGTTACATCCCTACGAGGGCGGCACTGAAAATTTCGGGAATTAACGAAGTGACACCACATTACTATTTAAAAATGTATTTATTGCTTTTCGAAGTATTATTCTCCGCGAAATTTGACACATTTTTCCATACGATGGAACGAATCATTGAAGCAACCATTCCATTCGGAAGTTGGGGTCTCCAAAATGGCCGTTTTGTAGGCGTCCACAGCTTCTTCAGGTGATGAAAATCTCTGTCCACGCAATATATTCTTTATTTTAGGGAAAGTATAGAAATCATTAGGGCTTAGGTCGGGGCTGTACGGCGGATGGTCTAATAATTCTATGTTTTCTTGCTCTAAAAACTCTTTTGTTCTGTGCGCGGTGTGAGAACTCGCATTGTCGTGATGGAGGATGATGCGGCGGTTGCAGTTCTCTTTACGGAGTTCAGAAACGACCTGTGGCAAACAAATGCTAGCATACCATTCTGCATTAACCGTTCTTTGTCCCTCAAGAGGAATAGTCGTAACATGGCCGGTTTTGGAGACAAACGTGGCCACCATTTTTTTTGCAACACTCCGTGAACGAACAATTTTTGTTGGCTTTAACTCATTTTCGAACACCCAAACTCGTGACTGGTTTTTTGTTTCGGGTTCGTACGCGTATATCCAGGATTCGTCACCTGATACAATGTTGTATACAGCATTTGAGGATCCTGCGTGGAATCTTTCGAGAGTTCTGACGCACCAAGTAACGCGAGCCGCTTTTTGCTCTTCACAGAGCGAATGCGGTATCCATCGGGAAAACAACTTTTTTACACCTAATTGTTCATGCAAGATTATTTGTATTTGACTCATGCCAATGTCTAAAGTTGCCTGAATTTCGCGGTATGTCACATGTCGATCTTCCTCAATCAGCTTACGCACAGCATCAACGTTTTCTTGGGTGACTGCAGTTTTTGGACGACCTTGACGGGGATCATCACTGAGCTTGACACGTCCACGTTGAAACTCAGCAAACCAGCGATAAATTGTGGTTTTGGATGGGGCTTCATCACCAAATGCAGAAATCATCCGGTCAACACACTGTTTTTGTGTTAAACCACTTCGAAAGTCATAATAAATCATCGCTCTTGAATTTTCTCGAGTCAATTCCATTTTCTCAACGACTAAACAAGTTTGACAAAACCTCGTGACAAGACCGAGAATCTTTTTTTAAATAAATAAATGGTACTTATTCGATTTTTAAAACCAAGGAGTTTTCAATTAAAAATATTTTAATATGACAGGAACAGTGGAAATATTCCATTCCCGATACTTTTAGTGCAGCCTAGTATAATTGTTTATATTCCGATCCGAACTGTCGCAGACGTGCACAGCACTAGAGCCAACCTCGTTCTAGCTAGGTCATTACAAAAACGAATTTAATTAATAATTCGGCATTTTACGTTTTAATTGGATCATATTAAAATAATCATCTGAAATGAATATTGAAAGACTTTTCATTTTTAGCATGTTTTTATGAGTTCGGTATGCTTGTACGTAACAGAATTTTTCGACGTCATTCTCATCGTACTCCAGAGATCCGATCAACTTGACAATTGGCATGCGCGTCAAGGGCTGATGACGATATAACAATTTTATAGCTTTGCTTCTTTTGGTGAACCAGAAGCCTTTCCAGTTTCACCAGGATAGCTGGACGAGCAAGGGCTCAGCCAGGAGGGGTGGGATCTACTAACGGCTACCCGAGCGTTTCCAAACGAGACCTAACAACTCAAGAGTAGCTGCTACGCAAATGAATCTACCACCGCATCGCAATCGCGACCCGCTGAGGAGTTCCGGCGAGAAAATCAACGGGCTAATGTTTAGGTTACGCTTAGCACGTTGAGCTCTTTGTCGAGTTCGACGAGTACGGTTACCGGGGTCCCTGTTCCTAGCGTTATAGCTGAAGGCGTCTAATGCAAGGGTTACTGGATCGTATAGATCCGTAAAGACGCGATAACTTTGTTCAGATGTCCTGACCAATATTAACAAAATATAACAAAAGATGAAATCGTTGGTTAAGTTCGCCATTTAAGAACGTTTTTAACTTTATAAACAAATTTTTGGACTTTATTTAGCTAAGAAAAGTTTATTTTGTCTGTTTGTTTGTTTAAGCACAAAAATTAAATTTCCAAGTACCTATATTGTTTTTCAAATAATATTCTGAATTATGTTTATTTACTTAATTAAGGGGTAAGAGCGAGCTGACGGCCCATCAGGAGTTAACTGATCACCGGGGCACACAGAGGTCGCGATATAATTTATTTTTTTTGCTTAGATGGGTGGACGAACTCACAGCCCACCTGATGTTAAGTGGTTACTGGAACCATAGACATCTACAACGTAAATGCGCCACCCACCTTGAGATATAAGTTCTGAGGTCTCAAGTATAGTTACAACGGCTGCCCCACCCTTCAAACCGAACCGCATTACTGCTTCACGGCAAAAATAGGCAGAGTGGTGGTACCTACCCGCGTGGACTCACAAGAGGTCCTACCACCAGTAAAACGAATACGACAACTCGTCTTGGGACATAAGGTCTTCTCTCAATTTAGAGAATAACTCCTGGCTTACCCTACTACCTGGACTCCATGACTACTTTGCAGCAGAAATAGGCAGGATGGGAACTAGTCTTGCTCTCAATTACAATTAAAACAAAAATTAATGATTTTCACATATTATTTTTAATGTCGATATTGGTTTTTTTTTAAGTTTTCCCCTTAGGTATTTTTCTGTTTTTTTTTTTTTCGAAACGTATACCATCTTTTAATCCACATTTGACTATTTTTTAATTAAAAATAACTAAAAACATGTTGAATTAATCACAGTCCTCCTACGTATTACTTCGTCCCAGTGTGGAAGATACCTAACTAGAATAATCGAATCACGAAACTCACCTAGTATTATATTTATATTTAGACCTGTGCCATTAGAATAAATGCGTAAAAAATGGATCCATTCATCAAAAAGAGTAGTCCGTTAAACAAAAAAAATAAAATGATCAATACACACAAAAGCAAATAAATAAATATTTTGAAAGTTCTAAACAAAAGCGAGACCTAAACACAAAGGTTTGAACTTCGAAACCACGTGGAGCGCCAAGGTCGAATTTATGTTTTCAACTTGTCAAGCGGCGGCGTGTGATAAATTAATTCTACGGGCCGTTATCGTGGCCCGCCCCACCCGACTATGAACGTTAAGCCATCAACATACGGTCGTGTTTCGCTTGCGCACCGTTTCCACGCATAGTCGCCAACCCAGGCAATATATCTTAGGCCGTGTACTGCCCCTGACAGTTCGTAAACAAACTGGAGCTACCGCAACAAAGGATGTCTGTCGTTTTGCACATCAAAAACCGAAACCCGTGCCAAATTTGTTCGCTAAGAAAGCTGTATTCTACAAATAGCTATTATGACATAGATTAATATTGATATTTTATTCAAATGCGATAAAGTTTACTCACCAGAATACACCACCTAGGTATATTAGAATACAAAGTCATCTGTAGAACGTCTTGCACATATCGATCAGTCTTGCAGTTCTCAAAAACACCACTTACGACGAAAAAAAACGTAGTAGAGGTTAGCACCAAAAAGTTCGACAGTGTTTACAATGCACGTCACTCAGATAGTAAACGATGTTTTTTAATTACGTACACGGAACGGTTTAAATAACGTAATCAGGTCGTTAAATGAATCACTATCAAAATAAAAATAGTGTAGACGCCGCGTCGTCGGGCGCGCCGCTGCCTGTCTGCCGTGCTGTCAATATTCGTCAAAATGAAAATGGCGACACCCTCAGCTCCTGCCTGTCCAGCGACTCCGTCCCGCTCTACTTCATATAGTTAACAAGGACGGAAAACAGCCGCGCTTCTTCGGCTCGACCCGGCTGATTTGACATGTCACGCCCAACATCATACATTTTGCGTAATAACACGCTCGAGAACGCGTGCTAACCCGTTTTAATAACATTAATTTACGATGGTTACGATTCTGACGTCGTATACTGAAAGTATTGTAAATTCATTGTTGAACTGCAGAGTAAAGTCAGTATTATTTATTTAATCGTCATTGCGCATGGTAAGATCGTCCCACCATTCAATATCTGTCGTTTCAGCGCCTCCTACTTCTTATTTTATTCAGACAGTCGTTTTTTTTTCTCTGATCCCGACTGCATTAACTCGATACTCGAGTCGCAATGCAGTTCGACTCATAATGAAGTTATCTTCCTATACTCTTTGGAATGATCCGTCTTTCGACTTACGAGCTAATTAATTAATTCCGCTACCTAATAACTTTATCCTCCTCTTTCTTGTTGAGGTTTAAATTCAACAATATCAAATATTCAAAAGTGATATGTATTGATGGAAACTGAGCATTTACAAGTGCTTAAACTATGATGAATGTTAGGAAAAAAGAGATTAAACATTTTTCTTAATACTTGACCCGATTTTTTTATAATTATGTATGTGTAAATATCAATCACCCCGAAGCAACAAAGTTTTACAAGCCTTGGTACAGAGTTACATTATTTAAAACAGACACATGTAGTAATTATTGTAATAGATAACATTAATGATCCATAATTATATTTAAAACCTTGATAATAATTATAAGGTAGTGGTAATAAATCAATCAAAACCAGTCACGCCTTCTATGCCAAAATAGACCTAATGTTAAAGTTGATTGGAACAACGTACGATCCGTGCATATTTATCTTTTGTGTGAAAGTATAAATTTATAAAAATTTTTAGGTTGTAGGTTTAAATTATTAACGTGTAATATAGTGGGTCGTTCCTGGCTTATACCACAGCAAGACATCAAACTATTTCAAACCAGTGAATATTTTAGAGCGAACAGCTGTTCAGTGTAGGGATGGTCGATATTTATCGATGTTGAATAAACATCGATGTTTTGGTTTCGATAATATCGATGTTATGAGAATAAAATATCGAACTATCGAAACGACCATATTATTATATCTTTTAGGGCCACTAACTGTGGAGAGCTACTACCGTAGTCTCTATGCCTCACATACTCCCAAACCCTTTGCCCACCCAGAGAATGAACACCGAGCCCCCTTAGTCCGCCACTATACGGAAGACATACCCGACGTCAGTATAGAAGAAATAAGGGGTGCTTTGGAACAGTTTCAACTTTAAAAATAACAGAGCTACAGGAGATGACGGAATCAGTACAGAATTGTTGAAGGCAAGTGGTACACCAGCTCTCAACCAATTATGCACAACGCTCAACACCGTCATCCAAAAAACGACTAGACCGGAAGCCTGGAGCAAGGGTACTGTCATTCTGTTCTTTAAGAAGGGAGACCGTGCTCTGCTCAAGAACTACAGAGCTATTTCACTTCTTAGCCATATTTATAAGCTGTTCTCGAAAGTCCTTACAAATCGCTTGGCCTCTAGACTTAACGAGTTCCAACCTCCGGAGCAGGCTGGGTTTCGCAAAGGCTACAGTACGCTAGACCACATCCACGTGCTGAGACAGGTTATTCAGAAGACTGAAGAATACAATCGTCCTCTGTGTCTCGCGTTTGTGGACTACGAAAAAGCCTTCGACTCCGTCGAAACTTGGGCTGTTCTGGAATTCATACAGCGATGCCTAGTCGATTATCGATACGTTGAGGTGTTGAAGAGTTTAAATAAAGCTGCCAAAATGACAGTCCAGATTCAAAACCAGCAGACAATCCCAATTGAGCTTCACAGAGGGGTGCGACAGGGTGATGTTATATCGTCGAAACTGTTCACTGCTGCTCCCGAGGATGTCTTCAAGACTCTGGACTGAAGTAAGCTGGGCATTTATGTCAATGGCTAGCATCTCCCACACCTCCGATTTGCAGACAATATCGTTATAATGGCAGAGTCGCTGAAAGATCTCAGCTGTATGCTGGGTGAGCTCAATGCCGCGTCACGACGTGTTGGTCTGGGAATGAATCTGGACAAAACTAAGGTCATGTTCAACGACAATATTATTCCTGGACCGGTAATAGTCGAATTCGCGGTACTCGAAGTTGTGTCAGAATACACATATCTAAGCCAAATTGTTCAGCTAGGCAGGGCCAACTTTGAGAAGGAAGCTGATAGGTCCATACAGTTGGTCTGGGCTGCGTATGGAAAGCTCCGTCATATCTTAAACTCAGCAATCCCGCAATGCCTAAAGACAAAAGTCTTCGAAGCTTGCGTGCTGCATGTCATGACATATGGTGCTGAAACGTGGACATTGACCGTAGGCCTGGTCCGTAAGTTCAAAGTCGTTCAGCGTGATATGGAAAGGTGTATGCTCGGAGTTTATTTGATGGATCGAGTCAGAAATGAAGAAATCCATCAAAGAACCAAAGTAACCGACATAGCCCTAAAGATAAGCAAGCGGAAATGGCAATGGGCCGGACATACATGTCGCAGAAGCGATGGCCGTTGAGCAGAAGTGTTCTGGACTGGAGACCACGTACCGGTAAGCGCAGCGTTGGGCGTCCCCTTACCCGTTGGACCGGTAGCTTGCGGCGATATGCTGGGAGAGATTGGATGCGGAAGGCGGAGGATCGTTCATTGCGGCGGACTATGGGAGAGGCCTACATCCAGCGTGGAGAGCTACAGGTTGATGATGAACTGTGGATGTACTTTCTAGTTAGTGAGTCCCTAGATAGTACAACTTTTTTAAACTAGATGACCCTGATTAACGTAATCGAAGTAAGCCGTACTACATAAATGTGTGTAATTAAGGAAACGTATACTGTGAAGTGTGATGTCGGAGTCAAGTCCAATAATTAAAACCCCGCTTATAATCCGTAAAACGTTGTTTTAATAAAAACGATTAATAAATAAAATAGACAGCTTTATTTCCTCCCAAAAACATCGATGTTTTTAGAAGTCGATTTTTTGCTATCGATTTGTATCGTACATCGATAATTTTAAATCGATGTCAACATCGATGTTTTTCTAATACCGATCATCCCTAGTTGAGTGTTGCTGTATTTAGTTTTATTTTTATTGCATAGAAGCATCTGTAAATACTTCAACCTTACAGCAGAAACTTCCACCGAAGCGCCAACCACGACTGTACCAAGCTTCAACTAACAATAGTATAAACGGGTCAGGAATTCGTTAAGGATACATTGATATTTATAGAAATATTTGTAGTATTTGTAACGAATAGTATTACTAATGGAAAGTTAAGACATTCATTACAGATTCATCCAATAATTACCCAATCCAAGCACAATAGCATCATATAGATTAACNACTTCCACCGAAGCGCCAACCACGACTGTACCAAGCTTCAACTAACAATAGTATAAACGGGTCAGGAATTCGTTAAGGATACATTGATATTTATAGAAATATTTGTAGTATTTGTAACGAATAGTATTACTAATGGAAAGTTAAGACATTCATTACAGATTCATCCAATAATTACCCAATCCAAGCACAATAGCATCATGTAGATTAACAACCTTACACCGCCGCCTTTTAGAAACTCATAAAGGCCCCCACAGATAATATAAGTCTTTGTCATATGTTAGACAAGTCATTTACAAAAATAAGTCTGAAAATTGATATAAAAATAATAAACGCACTACTAAACCATAAAAGTACTTATAATTATTTATTAATTCTATGCAATATTTAAATTCTTTTCTCCGTTGCGTTGGCGAAAAGACTACTTAATCTTTACTCTTTAAGCCGCAAAGCATGCCTGCATGACTGGATGGCATGCAGGCACTGCTCATGATTGCAACATGTCTCACCAACAGTATTTTAGGAAATTATATAACACTAGCGACCCGCCCTCGCTTCGCTTCGGAAACATTAAAACACACATGAAACCAAAAAATAAAAATAAAAAAAGAATTTAAAAAAGTAGCCTATGTTCATCAGGGACAATGTCGGCTTCTAATGGAAAAATAATTTTTCAAATCGGTCCAGTAGTTTCGGAGCCTATTCGAAACAAACAAACAAACAAACAAATCTTTCCTCTTTATAATATTAAGTATAGATGTGACACTTTAAGAAAGTGTTGTAGTATCGAAAACGTATCAGTCGCATATTCGCCAATCAATTCGAATCTTTTGATAAATAGCCGAACGGACTATTCTTAAAAAGTTTTTCTGACCTTATCCACTTACAAATAACAAGCTCAATTTTCAAAAAAACTCAATTTGCAATCACAGTCTAGGAATACTGGAATAATTTCATGATTGGTTTATATTTAATGATTAGTTTATTAATTAGACCATTCAGTAAAACTCCGATCAGCAGCCTAAATAATTTTACACATTATAGAAAGAAAGTGAGAAATAGTAAATGAATTTCATATTTGATAAGAATTAAATTCAAATTTTAATTTGAATAATTTGCGACATAGGGTTACACCACATCACGCAACCTAACCTTTATAGAGAAAGGAGAAAAGGAAGACATTAGGTAGTAGCTTCAGATCATAGATAATAACTTCCACTTAACATGACTTCAGAACCACCAAGATTTTGCAATATCCCTGCTTTAATGAACATTATAATATGTAACACTCTTTTAATTTCTGTGTTAAGTCGGGACAGCTGTCAGGGTGCCATAGAACCAGGTAACATGGAGAGTCGGTTGTGTAATCATATAAAATACAGTTTGTTGGACACGACAAGGAGTTAGAATGACTTTGTTTAGAAATTTTAGTGGCCGAGCTCATCACGAAGATGAGAGGACATATAGAAGAATGAAATTTGATGAAAACAAAAAAACCTTATATAGTCGTTAGACTAAAAATGAACTATGCACCTTTAAAAAAACCGTTTCAAAATCATATTGGCAAAATATAAAAAAATAAATGAAAACTATCATTTGAAAAAAAGGAAAAAATAACTTCATCCTATGAAAAACTCAAACTCAACCAGAAATAGTTTTCTTGAAAAATAGTTACATTACATTCGTGATTATAGGCGGCACTTTAAAAAGCTAGGTGTCAAAGATTTTCTGCGAGAATATCCCTGCCAAAGAGTTTTGTTACGCCAGAACTTAAACACGCTTAAGTAATAAGTATTAATAAGTAGTAAGTATAAATTTCATTAAAAATCATATTCATGACGAAAAAAAGGTAGATTTATCTTAAAAAATGAAAAATTTCTAAAATATATTTTTATATGCTAGTAACATTTAAAATTTTCAAATTTCAAATTCGGTTGCAAAGGGTAGATCGCCATTCACATTAATTTTTAAGTTCTTGTTATTTATTGTAATCATTTTCGTTTTAACTTTATTCTGTATATACATCGGTTTTAATAATTTATACTATTACAATGGCTGAACGAACCTCGAGATTGTCATCGTACAAAAACGCCGGTCAGGGTACCACAGTAAGTTATTTTAAATTCTAAACTTGAAATCTTACTTCAAAGGTACATACCACATAATATTTTAAACTCAGAATAGCTTAAGATTTAAATTTTATCAGTATATTTAATTTATTATTTTTTTATTTCGAAATGTTGGAAGGTAGATTAAAATAATTATTTCACTTTTCCATGCATTCTCATACAATGCTTACCTTAACACCCAAATGCGGTTTTACCTCGAATGTCATCTACATTAAAATAATTAAATAAGTCTTTACGTACATACACAAAATATATTTTTTCCAAATACAACAATCAATAAGTCCTAATCTAGTGAGGTTTTTTTTTTGTCAAGGTTACAGAATAATACTGACTATTAATGAATATTACTAAAGGTCCAATATGTTTATCAAAACACTAAGTGTCGAATATCAAATATCGCATTAAATTATGGCTTCCACAATCTCCATTTCATTCTGTCATGTTTGTTTGATATTAACAGAGTCTTAATTAATTTTTCACTATCTTTCTGTAGTCTGCATAATTAGACAAAAAAAAACAGATAATGTAGCAATCATAATAAAAAGTTGTTACGGTTGTGAGCCAAGATTCTGGAAAAGATCATCGGGCTCATGTTACATATTTGCAGACCTCATAGGTAGCTTTGAATTTAAAAAATCAACAGGAATTGCGTCGCAAACGTGCAGAGCTCAGTGTGGCGTTACGAAAACAGGCTCGAGATGAACAACTCCTTAAGAGGCGTGCAATGTCCCCGGAGACTGAAACTCCTGTGGAAACAGAGAAAGTCATGACGCCTGAAGAAATTCTGGATGGTATTTTTTCTTATTATATTTTTGCTGTTATGTCTCTAGATTGGCATGACAAACACAAGTTTTTTTTTTTATTGCCCTTGTAGGCAGACGAGCATACGGCCCACCTGATGGTGAGTGGTTACCATCGCCCATGGACTTCAGCAATGCTAGGGGCAGAGCCAAGTCGCTGCCTACCGCAAGTGCCTGGTGTTGTGAAGCAACTACTAATATCTATAAATATTTATTATGCTGCAGTGTCCAACAACTTCAAGTTGTGTGTAATAAAATTGAATCAGCCTTTTTATTTGTCTTCTTATACAGAATAAACCCTTGTATCATAGAGTTGTTGTTAGCATCCTACATCTTTTGTCTTTTGGATGTGCAATCATTACTACTGTTCAAATCTCAGGTGTCATGCTAAGCAGCTCTACTCTAAGACTTGTTGTACATTACTCAAAACACATTCTGTTGTACATTGAAAGCACCTTTTCAAAATTATTAAAATCAGTCAATTTATTTCAATTCATACAGAACTCAAATCACAAGACCTAACCAGAAAGACAAATGCAGCACGAGCAGCTCGCAGAATGCTGTCTCGCGAACAGAAACCACCCATCTCCATTATGGTCAACGCAGGAGTCATTAAGCCTTTGGTTGAAGCTTTGGATCATGATGAATGGTAAAACCTTTTAATCTCTATATCTAACGTATCTATTATTATGGAAGAAATTTGCCTACAAAAGTGGAGTTCTAAGGAACTGGCTGGATTTTTTTTTAATTTTTTTTGCAAAATACCAAAGCACACTATTCATACACTATAGACGTTGAGATATTGGACTAAAAGAAGAATATAATTGCCTCAGAATAATGACAATCCTGTCTATTCACTCCATTACTAAACTGGACATAGTTAAGCCACACAATTCACTTAAGCTCAATTCCTTGAAAACATGCACAGATCAAGTTAAGCATCAGGATATTTTTTTAATTATAATTCTAAAAAAACTATTTTATTGTTTTAAAAATAATGTAATAAGTGGTCAAACTCATGACATGCCTGGTTTTAATAAAATCAGTCTATATGAATCTCAATTACACTGAGATTGTTTTCTCAAACCTACTTTTCCTTATGGTTGGAATTCACAATTGGTAAAATAAGTAAATGGTCATTTATTACAGTAGCGATCTACAGTTTGAAGCAGCTTGGGCTCTCACCAATATTGCTTCAGGCACCCGACAACATACCATGGCTGTTGTTGATGTAAGTATTGCACCATCCAACACTCTAGTTTGGTAATTATCATAACTGGAAAGTTTTAATGTCAGCACACATAGTTCTTCAGAGCTGATGATTGGACTGCTCATGTTAATAAACCCATATGTCAGATAACTTTAACATTAGCAGAAAATAATTATGCGAAATTAAACATTAGTACTGGTCATTTTGAAGCAGCAATAAGTGCCATGTTACAACACAAAATCAACATTTAAAAGTTCAGATGTTGTTGCACTGAGCGTATGGCCCACCTGTGAGTGGTTACTGTCGCCCATGGACTTCAGCAATGCCTAGGGCAGACTCAAGTCGCTGCCTATCATTAAATATATACTGACAGTGCAACAACAAATTATGGTTTCATTATGTCAAAGTCTAAATGGGCAATGAAAGTTTTGTGGTAGGCAGTGGGCAAGTGTACTTCTGGTATAGCTTCTGAGCAATTGTAACCACTTGCCATGATATGCTAAAATTTACAAGACAATCAAATTAAAGCAAATTATTATTTACTAATATTTTAGGGTGGAGCTGTACCCAAACTAATAAGCCTTTTAGGTCAAGGCGGTGTGGTCGGAGAACAGTGCGCATGGGCACTGGGGAACATAGCTGGAGATGGCCCGGAGACTAGAGATATGATCCTAAATGCAGGAATAATGCAGGCCTTGGTGCCACTTCTAAATGCACAAACTCCAACCAGTCAACTGAGAATCGCTGTTTGGACTTACAGTAACCTTTGCAGGTATTTCGTTCTATCATTATATTAGCAAATAATATCAAGGATTAAGTTTGTTAATTTTTATTATGATTGCTCTTTTATGGGTTAGTAACATCATTTTGTATATTTTTCATGTTATTCTTGCTTGTTCTCATGCTTTATAGTTCGGTAGTTCAGTTGTGGAAAAAATGGAGGACTTTTAGTAGACACTTATACAGACTCTCATAACGCCTCACCTCCAGTGTTAGCTTACTTGTACCAAACAATTTCCCAAATAGCTGTACCTTTCAATGAGGCTGTCAAATTTGAATTCGTCACCAAATGTTTCTGAGATTTGTTAAAAAAAAAATCAATATGTTATATTTTTCTTGTTCATTTCTAGAAACAAAAACCCTCTAGTGCAATTCGATCTTGTAGCCCCAGCTCTACCTTACATTTCTGATTTATTGGAAATATCAGATCAAGATGTGCTCGGTAAGTAATGTTTGCTGTAAAAGTAATTTCTTCATTATACACCCTACTCAAGATAAACATAACATGCTTACTATTTCAGCGGACTCATGCTGGGCATTGTCATATCTGACAGACGGCCCCAATGAGCGCATAGAAGGGGTGCAGACTACCAGACATCTGCTGCCGCGTCTCGTTTCTCTACTAGAACACCCAGCACCTGCAGTCGCCACACCAGCACTGCGAGCTTTAGGAAATATGCTCACCGGCTCAGATATACAGGTACTGAAGCAAATTTAACTTCTTGTGCAATGAGGCAATTTTCAACTTCAGGCTTTAGTTTATATACTTATAGTTTATTACTTTATATACAGTTTTTACTGGTGGTAGGACCTCTTGTGAGTCCGCGTGGGTGGGTTTCACCACTCTGCCAATTTCTGCCGTGAATCAGTAATGCATTTCGGTTTAGAAGTGTGGGACAGTCGCTGTAACTATACTTGAGACCTTAGAACGTATATCTCAAGGTGGGTGGCGCATTTACGTCGTTAATGTCTATGGGCTCCAGTAACCACTTAACACCGTGGGCTGTGAGCTCGTCCACCCAACTAAGCAATAAAAAAATATATATTCATGTCTCTATGACATTACAACTGATTACATCCTTGATACATGAGAGTGAAATACCCCTGATTCAGTTCTTGTTCAAACCAAAAATATTGTCATCTAGTGGCAGAAATACATAGGAAAGGAGGAGCAATTCTTCTTTCTCTAGTTCTCTACCAATGATAAAGCTACACTGAAAAAATAAAACTTCTAATCTAATAGCATCATAATTTTTTCAAACTGTCTGACCATCTTAATTCCCCTATGGTTTAAAATGATCGATAAGAAACACTTTTCGGCTTAAACTTCTTATAGTAATTTAATTAAATGATTAGATTAATCATAACTGAACATCTTTTGTAATTAATTTCTGACATTTTTGTAACAAGCTTAGGGTCTTATTATATATCTGTTCCTAATTTTATTCATTTCTATTTTATTGTGTTGTTAGTAATAGATATAATGTTAATAATTTATTTATACATTGATAATTTGATAATGTGATGCTGTGCTACTGAATACCTATTTAGTTCACTTTGTTCTTTGTGTGATGATTTAGTTTAACTTTTAATTAGATAATTTTACTTATTTATCATATAACTTGATTTTGTTAAGTTTTTATTTTGTCAGATAGAACTTTTTGGTTTGATATTTGAGCGATTTCATTTTTTTTCACATTTAAGAAATATTTTCAAACCACAAGAATGCCACTCACATTGAAATACGATCGGATATTTTATCTAGACTGATTTTTTCTGGACAACTTAACATTACTACCCTTAATAACCTTAACTGGATGTTACAGACAGACCGTTGCCTGGATGCCGACTGCCTTAAACCCATAAGTCGTCTCCTGTCTGCATCTCCTGCTCTCAGTAAGGAAGCTGCGTGGGCTTGCAGCAACGTGTTTGCGGGAACAGCACCACAGATACAGAGAGCTATTGACAGCGGGGTGCTGGAGCCAATCGCTAGGGTCCTGGTGCATCATGACATCAAGTGTGTATCTCTGAGGAAATTGTATTTAATAATAATAATAATAATAAACATTTATTCCAAACACAAATTAAGTACAAAAAATAAATAAAAAAGATAACAAAAATAATAAGGCTTGGAAACGGTTACCGGCTCAGCAATGCCTAACAGTATCGAGACAATCGGTACTGCGGCGCTGATCTTTCGCCGGCACCTGCGGAGTGACGCACACACCAGCATCAGACCGACCAATACACAACATTGTAAAATATATTAAAAAATAAAAAGAACATGAATAATAAAAAAAAAAAAAACAGTTATGAAAAGGACAACAAAATTACATTATTAAATTAAATAAATAAAAATTGCAGTTGCAAAGCACAATTAATTATAGTACGGAGTAATTATATTTGATATTTTCGAATTTTTCTTGTATATTCAAAAGATATACTTTTCAATTTGTTTTAAAGGACCTTAGCGTTCTCTGGTGCCGGATAGGTGGAGGAATATTGTTCCAAAATTTAGAGGCCAAGTAGCGGAAGCTGCCTCTAAAAGCAACAGAGCAGTGTCGAGGAGTCGCAAACACTTGGGAGCGTTGTCGCGATTGCCTACCGCCATCTCCTAAATAAGTCAACTTAAGATACAAATAATTCGGCAAAAATATTTGATTACTACATACATATTAATACCACACAAATTTTAAACAAGGTTAAATAAACCTCTTAAATCTATTTTTTTTTATGTAGGTATCTTAATAGAATAATTTAGTTACATAAAGAGTTAAATATACACGAAAATAACATAAAAGCAAAATTAATCAAAGTTAAATCAATTCATACAGGAATCTATTTGTGAAATTACTTGCCAAATAACAAACAAAATGATGCACTTTATGAGGAAACTTCCATTATGTTGTGAGCATATGAGAGATATGTTCACCATTTATTCATTTCTTTTTATTCTTAAAGTTTGAAAAGTATCAATTGTTACGTACATTGTTCTGGTCCCTTTCTGGTTCTTTTTAATGATATTTGATGTTTTATAGAAATTGGTTTAAGAATTGTTCATATTGTTCATCGTCTTAGTAGTTGAGTGCATCATTTGAAGGTCTCATCATTGTTAAGGACCAACATTAAAACCCTAGAAATAGTAAGAAACCTGATTACATTGAAGAGGCGCCCAGTCCATATTCGAATCATTATCGGTGTTCATCGATTTATAAGACATTATCACGTCAATATATATATTTTTTGCTTATTTGAGTGGACGAGCTCACAGGCCACCTGGTGTTAAGTGGTTACTAGAGTCCATAGTCCTCTACAACGTAAATGCGCTACCCATCTTGAGATATAAGTTCTAAGGTCTCAGTATAGTTACAACGACTGCCCCGCCCTTCTTCTTGCCGAAACGCATTATTGCTTCACGGCACAAAAAGGCGGGGTGGTGGTACCTATCCGTGCGGACTCACAAGGGTTCCTACCACCAGTAAAAAATTTAAACCAATGACTACAGTGACGAAATGTAGAATATTTATTATTTCTGTCCAACTTATTATTTTGCTTTTAAATTTGATTTATTTATTTATTTAATCATACTCATAATTAATTTACACAGGTGCCAGAAGGAAGCGGCCTGGGCCATCACAAACCTGTGCCTTGGAGGCACCCCTGAACAACTGGACGCCATGCTGTCCTGTGATATTCTGTCGCCGTACTGCGCCCTGCTCCAGGCCAGGGACCACCGAGCCATCATCGTAGTGCTGGATGGACTCACTCATCTATTGCAGGTATGATGAAAATTTAAGAAAATTCAAGACCGAAAGTTACATGATCACTCCGATCACTCTTGCAATACTCATACACTACTACTACTACTACCATTTCCCTACATCTGGCTGTATTCTTAGTGTGTTGCTCAATATCGCAATACCAAAAGCCTATTGCAGCTCAACATTTTCCAACCATTTTTTGATGATGTTTAAAATTTCAATTATAATTGAATTAGAATGTACATTTGCTTCGTAACTGAATTTGGCTGTTGGTAATATATCTGGATAACGAAAGCTTCTTAATGTGTTGGTTGAGACTATCCATTTGCTATTATTCTTATTATTATACTTTGTGATTATACTCATGAGGTGTGTATGAACATATAAGATTAAACTACAAGTAAATGTGATTATTCATTTGAGTAACTGCACTCTCTCCGTCACAACTGCACACTGCGTCTTGTTCATAGGCTGCGGCGAAATACGATCAAGTTAGAGGAATGTGCATAAAGCTGGAAGAGATTGGCGCTCTGGACCAAATTGAGAACCTACAACAACATGAAAATGAACAGGTGTGTATCACTTCCTGTGTATAGATAACGGATCATGCTTTTAGAAACGTTTTTTGGCCCACCGAGTAAAATGCAGATGAAGTAGAACAAAGTTTTCTCGTTGTTAATACTATTGTTACTAAGAAATACATACTCAACATAACGGTTACGAAACACTTCACAAAGAAGAAATGACGGTTATTGTGGGTGTTTGTATTAAAAAATGGTCCACTATTCTGCTTACCTCTGTCGCTAAGCAGTCATATGTTAAGTCATTATGCATAAGTATTGAGAACTGGACTTAGTGTCTCCAGACACATTCATGTTGTAAATGAGGTCTTGTGTATATGGGCTTCTATAAATACTTAAAACCGTGTCACCTGTGAGCACTTTTACCCCTGACAAGCAATAAAAATATTCAAATATTCTTAACCAATTCTAGTTTATATAAGTCTTCAAATCTGCTAGTCTGTATGGTTTAGCAGAGTCTGCTCATAAGGGGTGAGGCCGGTGAGGCTATATAATATATAAATAGGATTTTCTTAATCTATCATGATTCGAAACACGATTCGCAACTATAGAATTAATTACCATAATAAATTCAGAATAATATTTTTAAGACAGCAGTTGAGTATATTCCAGTTGATGAGAATTATGAACCAACAGATTTACAAGAAGAGCATCCACATCCTGGACTCCTACTTTATGGAGGAGGAGGACGCCAGCACGCAGCCCGCTCACGACCACGAGCAGTATCAGTTCAGGACAAATGATGCAGCCATACACTTCTAGATAACTGCAAGTTTTGTTTCAGAAGGGTGCAGTAAGCAAGGTGACAAAAAAATCTAATTTATTGAATGAAGGGTTTGTCACTAACTTACACAATACTCAGTGCCTAAATCTGAGCACAATCGAAAACTACTTTTCTTTAAATATTGCTAACAATAACCAATTTAAGATGAATGTAAATTATTCATACAGTCCCAAGTCAAAGCAATTAGACAATAACTTCTATTTCAACTAATCAATTAAATGTTGTATATCCATATGTAACATTATTTCTTGTATTTTTTTATTTTTACATTAATTCCTAAATTATGTGAACCATTTTAATGTATAAGCTTGCTTGCACCAGTCACAGTCTTGTCTAGTTTCCGTAGAACAATTGTATGTTCCCGTTTGAAGACTGTTATACCAAAGCTAACATTTGTGCAAAATAATGTAGTGTTCATTTTCTCTATTTTAATGTCAAGATCTTGTGGCTTTGATATACATGTTTATATTTACAGTAATCAAAAATACATTGTTCATAAATTTCACTAAACAGCAATATTGTATATTAGATAGATTGGAAGCCACAATGGGAGTAATGAGTCCATTTGGTTCCCAATATTTCAAAAGCACAACATGAGTAATCGTAGTTGAGTAATAGAATTTGTTTAGAAATCATAGTATTATTGTGATGAAAAGTTGTTAAGAATCTTTTTTATATTTTTGTCTTTTAAGCTATTTTTATAATAAAGTTCCTGAAAAATTAAATAGCACTTATTATTACAGTTTTGGTCGGTGAGTCATGCAACATTGATGGCACTCCTCTGATAGCAGAGAGGCACATTAAGCTGATAATTAATTCAAGCTGCTATCATGATTTTATTGAGTTTATACGAGAAGAGTTGAGTAGCAAATTTTTCAGTCAGTGGACCTGTCTGATTTGTATGTTGTGTCGGTTGCAACCATGCTGCTACAGTGAGGGTAGATCTTTCATTCATAAACTGCATGCACGCACACACATGCAAGTCTTCCCTCGAACACAGTAGCAAGTGATAGGGCCAGAGCCATCAATTTTAATATTTATTTTATTTACCTTGAGGTGAGGAGGGAGTGTCTTAAAGAGAATTGGAATAACTGTGTGAATGAAGAGTATGAGTTCAAGAGATAACATATGATAAGCTTTGATTAAAAAAATAAGTGTGGGAAAGTGACTGTTGTACTATAGAACTGGGACTCATCTCAAAGTGGACAATGGAGTCGAATACAGAGCACTCCATCTATGAACTTTTATTCATTGTGGTTTATTCAGAGAGAAGCAGTATTGAACAATTCATTACAAAATATGTTAGATGCTGTTCAAGATAAACTGTGATCTTCTATCAATAAAACATATATCCAGGTAACTAATGTTTCAAAGGATGTTCTAAAAATAAAACTGTTTCGAAAAAATCACATTTATTATTATTTAATTACAACTAAGTTAAAATTAAGATTTCTGATCCTTCAGTTTTTCCAGTTGTTGCCTGAAATGAAATAAAATTATGTTTCAGATATAATTTACATTTGGTAACTGCTCTCCAGCAGTCCATACTCATCATATGTAATGACTATAATGTTAGAAACATAAGTACCAACAACTAATTATCTTAAAAGATTATATAGTACATGAGTCATTCCAAACCAGCGCAGATCCTCCCATTATGCCTTCCTGCAGCAATGTACTAAAGGAGGCTGATTTCTATGGAAAGCATGTATCTAACTCCAACTAGACTTCAGTATTATATTTCAGAGTGGCCAATTGAGTTCCCATTATGGTCTCTATGTGCTTTAGTTACTGATACTAAATGCATACTCTTATATAACCAGAAATATCAATATTTATAAAAAATATTCAATCTATCTTTTTACACAAGATTTATAAATTTGAAACAAGTTTCAATGCTAATTGTATGTACTAGATGACATTTCAACTAAAGATTGATTGCTGTAACATCAACATAAAGGTATTTAATAATATTTAGAGCAAACAAGAGGCAAGTTCCTGCTGTAAAATAAAATAAAAACTAGTTGCGTTCGAGGCACGAGACAAATTAAAAATATAAATTTATAAAATTTTGTTTTAAGCTTTGGTTTTTAAATAGTTCTAGAACTTAAGATATAGCTTACTGTACTATAATATTAAATGAAGTCACATCAGTAGTGTTCGCTTAGAATTTACTGGTGATAGGAGCTCTTGTGAGTATGTACGGGTAGGCATCACCACCCTTCTGCCGTAAAGCATTTCAGTTTGAAGGGTAGGGCAGCCGTTGTAACAATACTGAGACATTACACGGGCGGCATTAACGTTGTAGATATCTATGGGCTCCAGTAACCACTTAACGCCAGGTGGGCTGTAAGCTTGACCACCCATGTAAGCAATAAAAAAACATGGACATTTATTCAGATAGCATAAATATATAATGGAGAACAGAAGCTTGGTCCTTATTATTCTAAATTTAATCAGAAACAATACTGTCTACGATTTGCTACCAAAAGGTTCTTGGCTACTTTGGTCATATTGCTCAGCGGCCACCAAACAACCTTGAAAAATTGTCTGTAGTGGGCAAGGTAGAAGGGAAAAGACACCCGGCCGGCCGCCGAATTGTTGGTCGGATCAGGTAACCGCGCTGATTGAACTCTCTGTTGCGATCGCCCTGAGAGAAGCCGAAAACCGAACGAAATGGAAGCTGATGGTACAAAGAGCCACGAAGGCCTTTCAGGGACATGACCTTCAGCAATGGAGTATACGATTAAGAAGAAGAATCAAATACGACAGCAATTAGTCCCATATGAAGGTAACATAAATCTTTAAGATCTAACCTCAACTGCTGATTAAAATCATNGAACTCTCTGTTGCGATCGCCCTGAGAGAAGCCGAAAACCGAACGAAATGGAAGCTGATGGTACAAAGAGCCACGAAGGCCTTTCAGGGACATGACCTTCAGCAATGGAGTATACGATTAAGAAGAAGAATCAAATACGACAGCAATTAGTCCCATATGAAGGTAACATAAATCTTTAAGATCTAACCTCAACTGCTGATTAAAATCATCTTGGATGACGTCGTCTTCCCAGTTGTCTTCCCAAACCGATACATCTTCATCATCAGCGTCTTCTGTACCCCAATCTACGAGAAAATTTGAATTAAAATAGAATGAATGAAAACATTTTTTGTTAATTTCTTAATATTCTTCATCTGGAGGTTTACGTACTTTCCGCGGGAAATTCTTCGAACTCGTCATCCTCTTCTAGCAAACCAAGGTCTACTTTCTGTTTGTCAGCCATTATACTGTGATGATTATTGAAATAAGGAAATATCACTTAATGTAGCAGAATAAATAAGATGCAAGTCACAACACAACTGTCACATAAAANTAATATCTCATAAGTACTACCGGGAATTCCAGCGATTCTAAACGATAAGATTTTTTCATAAAGAGAGTTATTAAAAATATTAAAATTCCTAAAAAAGCCACCTGGTGGGGGGTAGGGAGACTAATAATCGACCGTAGCGACGCCTGCTGGACCGGGCTTTAACTAAAGCAAAAATAAAAATGAGAGTTGCGCATCTATCTCTAATATATAAGTGTATAATCTATGCTTAATATGAACACAACTGTCACGTAAAATGTAAATTCACAATTTCCTACTTCAGTGATTCACAACAATAAATTTTGATGCAGAACATCGTGGTGTTGCCTGTATTGTGATTGTTTTTTCCGAATTTAGAAATATTTAAGCAACTAGGTATTTGTTTTCACATAATATATTTCATCTCTTTTTCACCATGGTACCCCACCGTAACCGTAGTAGAGTTAATTCATAGTACCTTTTTATATCTTTATGTAATATCTTTTTTGCCATACACCATCTGGCTTTGGAAATAACTTTTCTGTACGATGCTTCCTGAGCGCAATGTCTTATTCTTCTCAAAAAGTGTGTTGATAACACTACTACAAAGACAATAAAAAGGGACATATTCCGTTTGCACTTAAATTAGATTCGAACAATCTCCACCTTTAAAAAAACGAGTTCATCTTAATAGTTTTCATTACTTAATGCAGAAAAATTATCAAATCAAAAAGGATCTGAAATCCCATCATTGTTGAACCCTTTTTAAAAAAAAAAAAATCCTAATCGTACTCAAGGTTGGAGTGTTGGTCGTGGAGCCGGTTAAATGAATATAACTGAAGTATGAATAAGTAACCCAATTTAGCCTCAAGAAAAACAATTACAAAATCTGTGTACTTAAAAGTATTGCAAGAATTATTTTTACTTGCGTGTCCTAACTAACATCATCGATGATTCATTTGGTATCCGAATCGTGAAAGTATAACTTTTGTGTTCAAAGTTGAGCTTTCTATCTTTTTATTTTATTGTACTAGTATTAATGATTAATACTTTAGCTGCCTTCTTGTTCACAAACACGAACATAACTTACCTACTCGGTTTATCATTGTAGGCAATGAAACAACTTAATCACCTTACACTCGTTTATTTTTAAAATATTGTCGGAGGATAAACAAAGTACTTAACTTATTAATAACATCGCTTTTTATTATTATTTAAGATATTACAATATAAATATAAAATCACAAAATATCACATAGAAATGTGTTTTCAGACTATAGGTAAATAACATGGTAAATATTTTATACATATACTTAGTATTTACTCAAATTTCCAGTTCAAATTGAAATAATACATTATATAGTAAGGTAATAATAGAAAAAGATAAAAAACAAGCAACAATTTAGATTTTGTTGTATAAAATTTATTTTAAGATGAAAACTATTTTTGGGAATAAATTAAAATCGTGCCCCAATTTTTTTATTTCTATACAAAAATGGATCCATGCATTTTGCATACCAAATCTGAGTAACGAACAGGACTATAAAAATGTATAGGATTCCAATAATTTCTTTACAAAAATTGTCTCCTGTCGTGTTTTACTACTAAAAACTTAATATAAAATATATGTATACTTTATAGTAAAATGTAGATGCTTATAATACGTCTCAAAATGAAACATGTTTCGATCTAACATAATATATAAAAAAATGTAAATATTGTCGAGATCGAAATAAAAAAACTAACAAAATAATGTTTCGTCCACGATCTGAAATTAAGCGTTACAATTTTACAAATCTTTAATTTCCCATAAAAGAATGGGAACTCCTACAGTACAAGGAAAGTAATATAAATGTGGCAGCACCAACAACCTTCTTAATTTTAATTTGACAAAGGCACCTATCGCGCTCGGCCACCTAAAAGAACCACATCCCTGATTATTTTGTCCAAAAATTAATGATAATTTACGATTTAACGACATTCAAAAAGCAGGTAGTGGTGAAGAGTTTTAGGTATTTCCATAGTTTTGACCGCGTGGGGGAAGGAGGGACCGAACTGTTTCCGGAGGAATATCCTGACTTGTGCCAATAGAGATATTGGATTTTTGGCGCGTTCAATTAGTTTTTGCTTTTGTTCTGCGTTTAATATACTGTTCCTCTTGATCATGCAGAGGTCGAAGGCTTCTGCGGCTTCCAGAAGTAAGTAGAAGATGTGCTCGTATTCCTCTGAAGTAACGTTTTGTAAGTGGTTGAGAATGCCATCCGGATCACGAAACTGGGTTTTCATTATGACCTGGAAGAAGTCCAACCATAAACTCTTTATTACGGAGTAGACGGCCCTTCTTAAATACAAAAATGTTGAATTTAAAATTAATGCAGACATCAAAACCAACAGGTAAATGCGGAGTTAGTGTTTCTTCTTGATGGTGACATTCTTAGGTTCGGCAACGTAAGACGCGACTCTACCGGTAGTCTGCGTATTGTGCGGGCGGTGGTCACTGTGGAAGCTTGTTACTTAATCTACCTTCCTGATTTACCGGGAATTCTAAAAGTGGTATCAAACAAAATTCAGTATCAGCTGATACTTTAATTGGTTGGCGAGTGTGGTACCCACCCTGGCTCCGTGCGCGAGGAGCATGGCCACCAGGTCGCGGTGGGGCCGCACGTTGCTGGCGAGGTACTCGGCGAGCGCGGGCCGCAGCTGAGCCGCGTCCTCCGGGCTGTACACCTTCAGGTTCGGGTCGGCGCCGCTTTCCAGCAGGATCTGTGTCGAGGAACATATTTAGCTTCAAACAGTATCGTGACGTGACGGCAGACAATATCAAATTGTCTAATCGCGCGGTAAATTTGAAATAAGACGACAAAATAGCGATAGAGACGCACGATCTGTGTACTTAGTCCGAGCTTTTTAACGTTCTCGATAGCGTAAAAGTTAACTCAAATAGCGCTCCTAGCGGCAAATGTAGACAAACGTTCCAACTCCATACAAATTTGAGTTAACTTTTACGGTATAGAGAACGTTAAAAATCTCCTACTAAGCACACTTGACGCGGCTCGACATTACCACAGATCATTAGGACCGCGATCTCTTTCCAGAGAATGAGGTTGAATACTTGTAAAGGTTTCACTTCTACTGCGTTCCACGCTCTTATTATCATTTTAATGTTCATTGATGTACTAACTCGGCATTGAGTGCGGCTGCACTGTAATGTGCAAGTGATGTATTGTTAACAGCAGCAGAATATCGCTTCCACGCATGTTGTCACGAGGGGCCCGTCCTCAACACCACACCACAAAATGAACCTTCAATTTGAAGTTTGTGCGCATTTTAATTGAACTTACTTTAACGATTTCCTTTCTGTTGTCTATGTTGTCGGAGCAGGCGACGTGAAGTGGAGACCCGATCACGGAACTAGACGCGTTCACTTGAGCGCCTGCAAACAAACAATACCCTTCATGAGTTTTTAATGGCGTTGCGGTCAGGCGAGCGGTCCCCGCGGCATGCCAGGGTACAGCCGCTGCTAGGAACTCCTTTCAAACTATCTGTAAAGAGCGTGTCATAGCGCCCGGCGTGGGGGAGATTTCATTAGAAAAGGCACTCAACACAGTCCTTGGCCTCGTGTTTTAAGGTGAGTGGACACTGATCAAAGACCAGTTCTTAAGCTGATAAGACCCTCACCAGCTGATAGGAGCAGTTGTACCATGGTCACGTCTCCCTTCAGGATGGCCAGGTCCAGAGGGCTGGGCTTGCTGAGTTCAGGACAGTCGTAGTTCACGCGAGCTCCTTGCTTGATCATGAGGTTCACTACGTCTGGGTTACCTGAAAATTATAAAGTAGTCAGGGTCAGGGCGGCTGTAGTCGGCCCTCGGGGAGTTGTGGTGGTGGAGTATGCTTAGCTATGTTTCTTTATCATACGCAATGTATCACATGTTCAACAGGCCTGACGCGCGGGGTCAACAACCACGTGCGTCGCGGGGAGGGACCTCGGCCAACCGACATTAGACGGTTATGAAGTTAAAAAACCAAAAAAAGTATTAATGAATGAATATTCAATGCATCATGAATGTTATGACGATGGAGCTTTATAATTCTGTTCGGTGATCGTCCACTTGTGCTTGTTAGAGACATGCGGTGCCCGGGGTCCTCACCACTGAGCACGGCGTAGTGCAGGACGGTCCTGTAGTCGTTCCTGGCGTCGGCCATCGCGTTGATATCAGCTCCGAAACTGATGAGGAGCAGAACTGCTTCTATACCCTGGACAGAGAGATATTATCTAAGATGTCAACGGCCTTAATGGGTAGACTACAAGCTGAGCAATTCGATCCTTGGTCAATTTTCAACTTGCCTAATCATTGTGTAACAAAATAATATTGCAACTAGAAATGTAACATGCAATTGATATCTGAAGGTTGACGAAGTGTCCCCCTATGGACTCCAGTTGCGGGTTCTTCGAGAAAGTGAGCAATGCTTCGCATAGAAAATGAGTAGTACTCACTTTCTTTTGTCTAGCAGCTTTCATGAGAGGAGTAAGCCCCGCTCGGTCCCTGGAGTCAGGGTTGGCTCCGAAAGTCAACAGCAACTCCAAGTACTCGGGGTCGGAGACCAGATTGATTTCGGAGCCGAAGAAGTACCGTTTGTTTGGATCAGCGCCGTGCTCCAGCAGCAGCTTAGCAACATCCTGAAAATGGAGATTTGATCGTGAGCACTTTAATTGCTTCCGAGTTCCTGTTTATTAAATTACTAGCTGTACCCATCTGCTTCGCTGGGCATTTCAAATTAACATTATTATTTCTCACCCCCAAAAAGATTCACATCATTAACGCTCTGGTAATCGGTGTAGGGAGTCCAACACTCATATAAATATTAGCATATCCATTAAATACATGTATTCTCTACATGGATACCAAGTTTCAAGTCAATCGGATGCATGGTTATTAGTTATAACGGAACATCCGTAAAAACCACTGTAGATTTATATATTAGTATAGATAAGGGACTTATTTAGTAAAAGTGTTCAGAACTGTAGAGAAAACAGGAACGTGACCACCGCCCTGGTTAGTTGCTTAGCTTAGGGAAATTAATTACAGTACTGTGTTTGAACATGTCCTTTACAGACTTTCCAAGTGATTATCAAGAGTTACAACCAGTCACACGACGAGCTCACAGCCCACCTGGTGTTAAGTGGTTACTGGAGCCCATAGACATCTACAACGTAAATGCGCCACCCACCTTGAGATATAAGTTCTAAGGTCTCAAGTAGAGTTACAACGGCTGCCCCACCCTTCAAACGGAAACGCATTACTGCTTCACGGCAGAAATAGGCAGGGCGGTGGTACCTACCCGTGTGGACTCACAAGAGATCCTACCACCAGTAATTACGCAAATTATAATTTTGCGGGTTTCATTTTTATTACACGATGTTATTCCTTCACCGTGGAAATCAATCGTGAACATTTGTTGAGTACGTATTTCATTAGAAAAATTGGTAACCGCCCGCGGGATTCGAACACCGGGGCATTGCTCAACACGAATGCACCGAACGTCTTATCCCTTAGGCCACGACGACTTCATCAACGTATTATAACAACATTTGAATGGCATACTTCCCACAACGGAATGACATTATTACTTTTCAACAAAAACATGCAGCTGATGCAGCGTGTACCAAAGGGTCCCCTATGACCGCCACCTTTTCGAGCATAAACTTAGGCACTTGATTCTTGACCAAACCTCTCGCATTGCAACGCGTTCCTACTGGGCAGCACAAATACTATTAGCTTTGCGGCCTTACATTACTGACTGCCAGTGAACACGCTTGATGCTTGAGGTCTTATAATTTAAAGACAAACGCCTTCGGTAGCCACCTCCCCCATTGAATGGAGAGGTACTATTCTGGACGTCATCACCCGATGATGCTCACATAGTGCTTGTTCCTGATGGCCAGCCGCAGCGGCTCGTCACAGAGCGTCGTCCTCGGGAACTCTTCGCCGGTGTCGGGCCTGTAGTCCACGGCTGCACCGCTCTCCAGTAGCAACTTCACCAGCTCCGTATACCTGGGAGCGACAGAGTTATATATGATTTCCGGTCGTCAATAATGTTTAATGTATTTATAATGCAGAGAATTTATAATAAATGCATTCCGAGAATAGAAAGCGGACTGTAGTGTCGTCTGAGTGAAAAAAAACAGCAATATCCGTCCACTGTGCCTTTCCGAAGAGACTGGTTAATGATCACCAAATAATTTCACATGTAGGTTTGTGACTCTTCAAGTTTAAGCACATTCTGCGACTCCAAGTAACGTGTTCACCCACCCATGCTCAGCAGAGAGGTGCAGGGCGCTGTATCCGCAGTCGTCGGTCGCGTTGACGTCGCAGCCCCTGACGAGGAGCAGCCTTGTGGCTTCCACGTGTCGCTGCCAGATCGCGTAATGCAGCGGACGGAGACCTTGGGTCACGGGCTCATTCACCTGGAACACCAGAAAGTAAAGCTAAAGTACCAACTGATGTCAGCTTGCAACACTCCACAATACCAAAAGCCCCTCGCTGATCGAGAACAAAATTAAAATTTTGACTATTAAATTTTTGCCTACATAGTGCTTAGTTAGGAATTTGACTAGATATGATTCACGTGTCGTAGAATGAACTCAGTTCCGAGATAAAACATAAACTAAGTCTGTCTGTCCAGTTCTCAAGACGCAGTTTCTGTTATCGAATGTTCAATAAACATGTCTGTTTGGCGCAGCAATGATGTTTGTATTTTTGAGGCTAAAAAACAGCCAACAGGTTTGTGTTGTAACAACAGATGCCGTATCCTTGACACGTTCAGCACGTGACGGTTGTGTCAAGCGAGCCGTGTTAACCTACCCTATCACTCAGCTCACCTTGGCTCCACAAGCCAGGAGGATCCTTATCTCATCCAAAGGCACCATCCTGATAATGGAGTCCGCCAGCTCCCTCTGCAAGCTCTTATCGGATATCACCTCTGAAGGCATTTTGACTGAAAGGAAAAGTACAGAATTTAATTAAAATCGTGTATACTATTTGGAAGCCTTAGACACTACCGATTGATTTTAAATATTGAACTGCCTTTTCACAGAGATACAAAGATTATGACGGGTAGACAACTTTACGGCGGATCTAGAATTGAGTGGATATCAGAGGTTCTCACATTATCAGTGCCACCGCTCACTTTAAGACTTGTGGTTGAAGTCTTATTTGTAGAGCATTCTTCCAACTGGTACGCGTCAGACACAGCCGTGCTGTGGCTCTCACCCGTCCGGCTAATATCTCTAATTACAGAATTGAGTAGATATCAGAGGTTCTCACATTATCAGTGCCACCGCTCACTTTAAGACTTGTGGTTGAAGTCTTATTTGTAGAGCATTCTTCCAACTGGTACGCGTCAGACACAGCCGTGCTGTGGCTCTCACCCGTCCGGCTAATATCTCTAATTACGGAAATTTACGACCTTGGGTTTCAATTTACTCTCCCATCGTTTTAGTTCTTCCCGAAGACGTCTCACGTACACATCTCTGCTTAAAGGATTTGTGTGTACGCAGGGTTTAAATCTCGGCCTTATCCGATCAGTCTTTACGAAAATAGGCAGGGACTTTCTGTTAGACCATGGACTTATTTCCGTCAAACTTACGGGTTACCAGATACCAAGGAGCTTTTACTAGAAAATATATTTATGATTTCGTTACATCGACAAAATCGCTGTCTAATGACCTCTCTGACGAACTAACGCGTGCCAACTGTGAACCCGTGTTCTTAGAATCATCGATCATAGCCAGAAATACTATGTGACGACAAACAGGTGATTTTTGGCTGCGGAATGTGCTTTTAAGAAATATATTCTACAAGCTTAAACAACTTCGTTCTTGCACCGGACAGGTAGAGGAAATGAGCGGGATAGTCGTACCTACCCCTGCGGGATGACATGACGCTCTAACATCAGTGATTACGCAAAATTAGTAAGTAAATAAGTACACGATGTTATTCGTTCAGAATAAAAAGGATTTTGCATTCGCTTACTCGACTTCTTGTATGTTTTAATTTCGCTAATCTTGATGGTGCTACATGGTATTATTAATTAATTGTTTTAGACCTTAAAAATACACATTACTACTCAATGTTACTATTATTTGTTGCTGTAGCTTTTAAAATGCGTGGTAGCCAATTTGCTTGTAGATCACTTTGATAGCTCGGGCTATTTACAAGCTTTGTCTCGTGGCTCTGACTACATCATCCCCAAATCATCAACATAATAAGGCTCATCCAATTCTTGGCAACTGTTCCAGTACTCTCCGTCTGGACTCACTGCTATGTCTATGTCCTACCCGGCGCCATATTCTCTGTTCTTGAAGATATTAAAGAGAAATTCGGATCATGGCCCGATCTATGAATATCTATATGTATAACGCGTTCTATTGGCTTCATTAAGTGTGTTCAAGATGCTATTACGCCTTAATTCGCTGTAGCGTGAAGATCTTGCCATGATCGCGCCGGATTCTACTTTTCTACTACTACACAATTACGCACCACGATCTGTGTTTTGTAAACATATTGTGTGCATTCATTTTGGCTCCTCGTGCTAGTTTAATACGCACTGTATTGTAATTAATTTGATATTTGAACGACAGCCAAAGGTGTGTGGTGAGATATGGCGCTGTTTCGTTCGACTACGAAATTTGATTTCGATAATTAGTTCGGCCCAGTGACGTAAACGAAGAGAGTGCTGTAACTGCTCAAATCATTCAAAATATACATCTAATGTATGGAACATACGGAAGTATTTCATCAGTTAGTTACTGTATTATATGCTTGAAGTCTATGATAATAAATTAAAATACTTCAATGTTAAAGCCTTCGCCAAACAGAACGCGTACTTAGCGCCGCGTACTTAACGTCGCGCTCTTCTAATTGACTAGACGAGTCTAACGCTCCTTGACGCAACGCATTCGCTAAATCATAGTGCCTTTAGATAGCAGTGTAAAAATTTAAAAGTATTAAGAAATCGAGTGATTCAAGCCTTCGTCAAACAGAACGCGTAATTAGCGCGCGTCAGAGCCGCCGCGCTATGACGCCGAGATGTGTGATACTACATACTATGGTAACATACCGTCAAACAGAGCCCCAGCATTATAATTACGCAACACTCTGTCGCGGCGCTAGGACGCTTTGACGTCAGGCGTTGTTATTTTTTACAAATTTTATTTTAGCGTCCGAGTGAATGTGTATTAAAATACTGGATAATTCCCGAAAAATTGATAGAATTAGTTAGAAAATGCCCATGCTTATCATGCATGCCCATGCATCAAGGAGCGTTAGACTCATCTAGTCAATTGGTGTGACATGAAAAGAGGGCGACGTTAAAACGCGGCGCTAAGTACGCGTTCTGTTTGACGAAGCCATGATACATACCTAAAAAAAATTTAAATCTTTTTTGGGAACTATACATTAGCGTAATGCCGCTTATGTCGCAGGCGTGCGCTTGAAACGAAATCGCTGACCCCGCGTGCATTCTTGTCTTTTTTATTTCTGTTACATTACTCGCAATATACAAGACTCTTCACGGCAGAAATACGCAGGGTGGTGGGACCTTCCCGTGCGGACTCACAACACGTCCTACCAACAGTGAACGTGTCGAATACTGTACAGCTTCCCCTCAAGTATATCTATGAGTTTCCGCGGAGGACGGCTTAAGGTGGTAGGATCTCTTGTGAGTCAGCGCGGGTAGGTACCACCACCCTGCCTATTTCTGCCGTGAAGCAGTAATGCGTTTCGGTTTGAAGGGTGGGGCAGCCGTTGTAACTATACTGAGACCTTAGAACTTTATCTCAAGGTGGGTGGTGCATTTACGTTGTAGATGTCTATGGGCTCCAGTAGCCACTTAAAATCAGGTGGGCTGTGAGCTCGTTCACCCATCTAAGCAACAAAAAAACAAAGGCGCGTACATATAATTTGCATTTTTTCTTAATGTTAACTTGTTAAAAAAATGAAACGCTTATTAATTAATCTTTTCTATTAATCTTTACATGCATGCTCCGATTTCAGTGTAAAATAATTGCTGGACAAAAAATTTTTTTCTCACAATAGCCGGTTTGGGTTAAAATTTTCTTCTTTTTTTATTCACTTTCTGTTTTTATGACTTCTCTTCAATGCACAGACGCACCGGATGTTTCTCTTTCATTATATCAACTGATATTTTCTCCAACTGCTACATAAACCCAAAATAAACTAACCAGACTTTATAAACACCACACAAAAATAATTGGTGCACGAAATACGTAAACATTATTTTTAATCTGCGCCATATCTAAATACAAATGTAAATATAAATATATCACGCAATACATTTTAAATTATTTGAACGGGGTCAATGTGGGCGCATGCGGTGGCACACTGCCCCTGTCACGGCATTGGAAATAGGTTCCAATTTACTTGTGCTGAAAGCCTAATTTTGATTGTTTTGAGTGAAGGATTACCAGACTGGTGTCCCAGAGGCCTTTCAAATTTCACCAGGACAGGTAGGCGAGCAAGGACTCGGCTAGGAGAGGTGGGATTTGCTAACAGCTGCCCGAGCGCCTCCGAAGGAGCCCTAACAGCTAGAAGGCAACTGTTTCGCGAATGAATGTATAATTTTGATTGTAAATGCGTGATAAACATTAATTATTTAGAGCGGTTCACCTCCGCAAACCGAAACGCGTTCACGGCAGAAATAGGGAGGGTGGTGGTACCTACCCGTACGAACTCAGAATACGTCTTACCACCAGTAATTACGCAAATTATAATTTTGCGGGTTCGATTTTTATTACATGATGTTATTGCTTCACCGTGGAAGTCAATCGTGAACATTTGTTAAGTACGTATTTCATTAGAAAAATTGGTACCCGCCTGGGGGTTTCGAGCACCGTTGTTGCATCGTTAGATACAAATGCACTGGACGTCTTATCTTTTAGGCTACAGCGACTTCAAAACTTTATTTAGACAAAAAACATTCACACTAAAATTTAGATAAAAATATCTCATTCTATTCGTTTCTCTGTATTTTCATAATAACACATCTATGTATTTTGGCGCGGGAAGAAAGTTTCCTGGGAAACTCCCTGACGTAGGTCGCGACATGAGATTGGAGCGGAGCCATCTTTGTTCCAATATACTTCATTATAATGGTCCGGCATTGATGTAACCGATGTAAGGAAGACAAGGGGATAGAGTTTTCAATATAGTATCTGAGTATCAGCATACGTAGTAACAATATACATCTGGACATAAAGTTCAAATTGAAAGATTGACCTGAGTTTTCGTGAGCCTGAAATGTATGAGCTAAATACTCAGAGGTCAACGACCGCAGCCACTCTCGAAGAAATGCAAGCGTAGATTATTTTAACAGGAGAAATATTTCACAAGCTTATTTCAAAACGCAAAAGCATTTTAAAAACATGTTTGCTTCCATTGAAATTTATTTGCGCAGCTTTAATACGTTTCCATACAAAACAGACAATATATTTTGATTTCACCTTAAAGCGCCCTATTTTTGAGACAGATTAATCTTTTTAAAACACATCTCGAGATATTTGCAACGTCTTGGAAATAGTCCAAGTACCAGTATAGTTAGGTCTTCGATTGACTGAACGCTACGTTGCGCTACACAGCTAACAGAGGTTTCGTATAAAATGGGTTTATCAGGTATTTTCAGTTTAGTTCCGTTGACGCGGACGAGAGATGGCGCCACGTGGTTGCATGTTTACTAACAAAAAGAGAGTTTTAAAATAAATGGGCCAATACACGGCGCCATTAATAAGTGTGTATCTATGCATCGCACGCTTGAAGCGTCACTACACACATTAGCATGAGTCCAATTAGAATAGTGATATAGCCAAACCTTGTCATTATTTCTTTTTCGTTATCAAGCACCTGATGTTTTTTGAACAAAATCGGTTGAGACCTTCTGGTTACTATTAAGTATTACAATTCTGCTAACTAATAGCTACTTTTCATTACAAAACTCAATTTAATTGTATAAAATTAACTCTGCATGAGAGTTCGTGTTTCCATTTGTGTGTTCAGTGGGTCATAATGCCGCCCTGCATTGGCATGGTAAAATCAAATAGATACAACATGAGCTCCATATACAAATTTCTACAGTTTTGGTGAGATTAACGTGACAACAGACGATACATACATGCACATAAATGTATAAATACGTAACATCATATCGACATGCAGTCTACCGCCAAAACTCCCTGACATTTACTCAGCAATGACAATTCTGACAGCTAGCCTTGTCAAAGCAGCCATTTTTGTTTCCCAATTAATCGTCGATTGACAGCTGTCATTTTAATAGTGTTTTGAATTATCACTTAATTTACCTACCTACTTGTTTTGAATTAATAAACTACTTGATATTTCGATAAAATGGAGTCGTCGTAAGCTGAAGGATGTGATTCCTTGTGCACGTGTACCAAATGACGCGACTCTGTCAGTGTTCAAATACCGCAGGCGTTTTCCTACAACACACACTTCACACGTATTCACGAATGACATCCACGATGAAGGAATAACTACTTAAAGTAAAAATCTAACACTAAAATATAAATTTCTATATAGTTAGTAAAATATGCCACCTGATCATCAGTTCATTTATTTATTTATNCGTATTCACGAATGACATCCACGATGAAGGAATAACTACTTAAAGTAAAAATCTAACACTAAAATATAAATTTCTATATAGTTAGTAAAATATGCCACCTGATCATCAGTTCATTTATTTATTTATTCATCATCATTTCGTAGCTAGATATGTACTAATACTATGTCTATCTTCATGTCTTCACCTGTGCTAGTGTTCGGAGATATGTATTTATTAACATTGACATTGCTACTGAGATGATTGACAATACAAATGTCTCTTGCGCGTCTCTCTTCGATAACTCGTGTGACGTGTCTCATCCAATTTCAAACTATCGTCCCGTAAATTAGAGCAAATCATTATCACGTTGAACCTGGAGTCCATAGACATCAACAACGTAAACGCGTCACCCACCTTGAGATATAAGTTCTAAGGTCTCAGTATAGTTATAACAGTCTTCTTTTTTTCCCCCTAATCCCACTAGTAGGGATCGGCACAGCTAATTCCACAGGTTCCATTCTCTTCCGTCATCTCAACACTCACTCTTCTCTCTCTCATATCGTCATTCACACACTCCATCCATGTCTTCTTCGGTCGACCTCTTCCAGCTCTACCTTGCACTGTCATTTCCATACATCTCCTAGTCACATGCATCTTCTCTCTACGCATCACATGTCCATACCACGCTAACCGAAATGAAACTTTAATGGTAATCTAATTATTTATGTCCGTGAAACCGAAAGAAGCACGACATTAAAGATTTATTTGCTGCACGCAATGCAATGCGATTAGGAATCAGCTGAAGCGCAAGGCCACATAAAGAAAGGAGCATTACATTGCTGGTTTAAGAAATGTGAAGTATTCCTTATTTATCTTTATTGTCGTAAAGTATGTTTCTATCCATACTGCGGTAAATATCCTGTACTTCGTGCTTTGTGAAGCTTTGTTGACCGTGTTATTGACAGAAGCTAATGAACTTGAACACCTCGAACAAAAGATGTTATTCGAACGACCCTGACTGCAGTGACCTACATTGTAAACATTCTATTTTCGTGCAACCAGAAACGTCATTATAACGGCCATCTTGGAATTGTGAATAAAATTTCGTGCGTATGTTTTTAATGAATTCGATGTCGGTAGTAAATGAATGTTGTCACCTGCTAGTGTTTAATGGACATGATATATTTCTTAAATCATTAATAATAACTAAATATAGTTTGTAAGTTCAGAGAATAACGCTATATTGATATAAAAACTAACATTGTTGAACTTTGCTATTGAATTTATTTATAAAATAACTGGTTTATATGTGAGCAAACCACTTTTGCCACTTTTGAGGTGTATGAGAAGTATTCACGATTTTGCCAATGTTTTCTTAAAAACAATTTTTAAAAACAAATTCGTAACCTCGTAAATTCGTAAGTATATGTTTTTTTTTCAAGCACGAAGGGTTACTGGTGGCTTGAAGGGAAGGAAGTTTTATTCATTATCTATATTATTAATATTATCGCACTAGTGAGCATAATTATATTGAACAATTCACATACCTTACTCCGTTAAAAGTTCCAACTTCAAAACAGGAAGCACTATGACAAAAGTCCTTTGTGTGATTAAAAAAAAACTGACTTTTTAAACTTTTCCCGCGCTGTCAAAACGACAGAAATTCCAAGGTTTTTTCTATTTCTTTTCTCTTCCTTTATTTATTTATGAACAATGGACAGAGTACTGCGTTATATACGTGCGCTCGGGTTTATATTTTCAAATAGACTGTTTTTGGTAGAGTTTCGTTCTGGTAACAAAGAGAATTGGATTTGGTCCAAGATGGCGCTGTGCCAAGTACGGAGTTGCAATGGACGTGTAGGGTAAAACGTAATATTTTCATAAAGCTTAATGACTTTAGGAAACGCTTTGCTGCCGTGGAGGAGTAGACGAGCGCCTAGACATTACAATACAAGCGTTGCATCCTCAAAATAGGAGAAATTAGGTTAAATCTCAATGCAATTGCAATACATATTCTTTAAGCCTTTGACCCAATTTGTGTCTTCGATCTTCTTACTGTTACGCGCTAGGGTTCGGAATAAATAAAACTTCCACTGAAATTTAAATTAAAACTCTATTTAACACTTAGAACACTCACAGAACACTTTACAATTTGTAACTCACTTCTTCCGCTTCGCTTCATGCGATCCGTTCGTTGTTTCGCTTCGAGTAAATCCGATTACTAACTGCCTCCGTGTCATCTCTCCAACGTTTTTATAGTCGATACAACATCCCCAGAATTATCGAGAACATTCCTGACAAGTCGAGTAGTTTCGATATGTGTTTCCGCTATTTTACAATAGATGGCGTTGTACTTCTCGAGCGTTCTCAATTTAACTAGTTCTTTTGAGCGTTGCTCTTACCGTTTCTGCTATTACTAAGAGGTCGGGATATCTAGTAGGAGGAGTAGGGGGAGGTCGGGATGAGGATCGGGTCGAGTGGCGTGCCCTGGGAGAAGCCTATATTCAACATTGGGCCAAAATAGGCTGTTATTTATGATGATTTCTACAACTAAGTAAAACAAGACAACCATTATTATAATGCATTTTTGTCATGAGCCATTGTTTTTCCAAATTTAATGCGTACTTCTCTCCAGAGATGTCAGCGACACAAACAGAGCGAACTCATATTTATCAAACATAGAAATAAACAAAGCACTAACTGTTAAATTAAAACATTGTACAATATAGTACGTCTCACCCTACTCACATTCGCACACCTTTGAGAAAACAACGTCTTGAAACGGACAAAGATTTAAAACAATCAATGAACCGTCCGAAGTGTCGGGAAAGTATATTGTTAATGTTATTTTTTGGCATCAATCGACGACAAATTAGTTTTCAGTCTGTAAATTTTTATATATTCGTTTCGGAAGTATCATGATATTTGTTAGAGACGTGTTTAAAATCAATCTTTAGTTTCAATACGTAACGTAATCTTAAGATATCTCAAGTTAATGAACTCACCAGTCTGGTGTGCTTATCGGGCCGAGGGCCGAACCTCCTGCGTGATCCCCGTGCCTATGTGGTGCGCGGTGTAGGTACGTGGGACTTGACAACCTGCAGATATTGGGAGCAGACCTTGGGCCCAAGGATCTTTTAAGGCCCTACCGCATTAAGCGATTCCCATGCACTCTTACGCCCGACGCCCGATCGCCATCCGGGGTTAGAACCCGATCAGAGTGGGGGTTCCGACTGTCAACAAGTACTTAATATTACCACATCAAGTACTGAATTCGTATAAATTAGATTCTTAATGTTAATAATGTTAGATGTTGCAAATTCCATAGATAGCACGCCGAACCAAATAATCCATTCTGAAGGAGCTAGTTATTTCAAGGCTGTCTGATTTCTGCTTCCAACGAACTTAGAGAAGCTAATGCTAGTCGGTCAGGTCAATGGGAGAAGATCACGAGGACGCTGACCCACTCCGCTGGTCTGGTAATGACGCTCACGGCCTGCCAATAAATGAGGCTAGAAAGACCACCGAGGACGAGAAGGCGTGGGGATGTATGGTGCATCGAGTGGTCAACATTTTAAACTTGATACGATTGTTAGAGGAGAGGAGAAGATTGTTCATAATATTATGGACCACTACTCAGCATAATGAACAACAAAGAGGAAATCTAGTTATTTCCGTAACAAGGTATGTTTTTTTTGATTAATTTATTGTATTAAAAATATATCTAAAATCTAACTAACATGTTAGTACTAAAATAATACCTATTTAGACATTTGTAGATATCCACTAAAATGTAAGCGTTACACGTAAAATTTTCTCTAAAGTAAGACTTTATTCTGTGTTCCTTCTACCGACTCTAGTATGTGCTGCTCTCTCTTCTTCTCAGATCTAAGGAATACGTCAAAGAGATTGTAACTGTACTTGAGACCTTAGAACTTGTATCTCAAGGTGGATGGCGCATTTACGTTGTAGATGTCTATGGGCTCCAGTAACCACTTAACACCAGGTGGGTTGTGAGCTTGTCCACCCATCTAAGTAATAAAAAAAACAAATCCTAAGCGATGTTTTTGCATTGTGCGAGCATGGTACGGCCTACCTCGTCCAACTAGATTAAATCGGCGATATAGCAATGACTGATGCGCTCAACGCCTGTGTGCTAAGTGCCAGTTTTTTAACGTTCTCGATAACGTAAAAGTTAACCCAAATGTGTATGATGTCGTGGCGTGCAACCTCTTTGACAGGACAAGACCTACAACGACTAGACACAGACTAAGACAGAAACTTGACAAGAATTCAAAAATAAAGAGAAATGGAAAGAAATGAAAGGAGAGAAAGAGAAATGGAAAGAGAGCGTACGTGACTAGTGGCAGGCGGTACTTTTCTTGACTTCCTTATAGATAGACACGAACCAGACGACAAGGAACGAATTGACCCTTCTCATCTATACTAATACTAATACTAATCTATACTAATATATAAATCTACAGTGGTTTTTACGGATGTTCCGTTATAACTACTGAACCATGCATCCGATTGATTTAAAACTTGGTATCCATGTACAAAATACATGTACTTAATGGATAAACTAATATTTATATGAGTGTTGGACTCCCTACATCAGTTACGGGGGCGTCAATGATGAGAATCTTTGTGGGGATGAGAAATAATAATTTTAATTTTAAATGCCCAGCGAATCGGACGGGTACAGCTAGTATGTATATAAAACAGACGACAAAAGAACTAATCGACCGTTCATATGGAGTTGGAAGGTTTGTCTACGTTTTCCGCTAGGGGCGCTGTTTAAGTTAGCTTTGACGCTATAGAGAACGTTAAAAAACTCGCACTAAAAAACCACACTGAAGCCAAATCTTTAACTCTGTTCGCGAACCGAACCTGAAACGGCTCGAAGCGACTGGGAGCGCTAAACGATGCAATGGAATGTCTACAAAACAATTCAAGGTACGTGTTCGTCCGTTATTGATCTAAAGTTATAGCGCGCAGATTAATTTCTCGATTCAATAAAAGTCCTCGCAGATTCCTCGGATGCCGGCCCAGGGCGTTCAGCGCTTAATGAAATTCAACCGCAGGCGATTACCTCATAACGAAATTAGGCTGGGGTCACACCAGGAGAACCAGCTCACGGTCGGCGATGTGCGCGAAGGGCGAAGACTAAAACAGCTGAGTGTTTTTTCTCCTCTGTCTGTCAGCCGATTTTCTCTTTTTATTTAGTAGTTTCTGAAAATATTTAGTGTTGCCAAATAAAAAAAATTCCAACTCTGTAAGTAAAAAAAGGTTAATAAAAAAGAGACAATGTACTATATAAAATAAATCTTTAAGTATCACATATTAGGGAAGAATGTCGACCTTTAGGTGGGAACTAGTTTTTATTAATCTAATATACAAAATAAAATGCTAATGCTCCGTTGTAACCGCACCTCATTGAGCCTTCGTCCCGGACCACCCCACGGGAATCACTCAGCACTTAGCAGCCGAGACAAACGGACAAACACTACTAACGGTAAGCCTTTTAGTATACATAGCGATATCAATTCAAAGAGTTCTATTATTTGCTGGAGCCAACTTTAGGATTTTAAAATCTTAGATTGGAATTTGAATACCTCGAGCTTGTTATATTTTGATTTTATTGCCGTAGATTGCCAAATCAGATTCCCGGCCTATTTGTTGCCGATAGGCATCAAGTCGGTATCGCCGTCGTTAATTTTAGCCCGCTTACAAAGCTATGTCATACCATTGTGGTTAATTAGTTCAATAGTGCTTCAAATTCATTTCCGTTATTGGATCTAAGAAGTATAATTTAAAGATTCCTTGATAAGATTATACTGTGCTCTGGACTCGCGAGGTTTAAAGGAATAGCATGAATATGTTTCTATTGCAACTGAACTACACGTTCCGATGGAAAGTCCTCATTATTATGTATAATAGTTAATACTTCTTAAATCCTAAAATCTTCCTAGAAAAGTATACTTTGAAATGAGGTTATCTTACGTAGACGTTTATTAACGCAACGGCCTGACGTCACGTCACGCACCAAGCGATGGTCATATGGAAGCCTATATTTGTTATTGAGGCACAGTTGCAAGGACGAACTCATAGTCAACTTAGTTATATGGTCACTGAACTAAACTCACGGTACGCCTCTACATCGTGGCTTAAATGAAATAGTGAGTTCGAAGTTTATCCTACTTCGAATGGAACACATGATTCATTTGTAACAGATACAGGCTCAGGNGTCACGCACCAAGCGATGGTCATATGGAAGCCTATATTTGTTATTGAGGCACAGTTGCAAGGACGAACTCATAGTCAACTTAGTTATATGGTCACTGAACTAAACTCACGGTACGCCTCTACATCGTGGCTTAAATGAAATAGTGAGTTCGAAGTTTATCCTACTTCGAATGGAACACATGATTCATTTGTAACAGATACAGGCTCAGGGGCGGCTTTTTTGGGATCTAAAGAACAAGTCAGGTTGGGACCGGCTATACATGACAATTGAGTCTTCGACCTCATGCCTTAATACCGGTAATGGCATTCGGCAACCGTTACGAAGTCGTTAATCTGTAGTAATAGCTTAATTCCATATGGGTCATCAGCTCATTCACCTATCTATGAAGGTATTTAAAAGACACGAACCCTGTCATTAACAATGTAATCGTTTCTTCGTGAAACGTTCGACAGATGGTTTTCTTGCGACCAACGAACATGGCCTACCCAGCCATCTGGCGCAGGTTCACCGTCAGACGCGACGGGATTACTACACTCCTCCGCATCCAAGACCTAACGGAGGACTTGCGTGGCGCTGCCTTGGCGCTAATGGAGAAATACTTCATGAGTGATGAGCCCCCCTGCAAATTTATAGGTTTGTCTGAAGCTGTGCTGACGTCACTCTCACTTTATCCCGTAAAGTAGGTTTTTATTCATTAGCTAGGTGAAGAGTTCACAGCCCACCTGGTGTTTAGTGGGTACTGGAATCCATACACATCAAAGAGTGAGTGTTGGAATGTTGCCGATTACCGCATCCTTCAGATACTCATTAATTTATTTGGGGTAGCGATATGGAATACGTGATATGGATGAGTGATATGGATACGAAATGGTGGTTTCTGTATATTTGTGGACTCTGAACTCGCTCTACCATCGGTCACACCATTGTAGATTAGGCCTCTACTCTTCCTTGAGCAGAATTCCACAGGCAGATACCAATTGTTCTAATGAAATACGTACTTAACAAATGTTCACGATTGACTTCCACGGTGAAGGAATAACATCGTGTAATAAAAATCAAACCCGTTAACATTTTAATTTGATGGTAGGACGTTGTGTGAGTTCGCACAAATAGGTACCACTACCCTGCCTATTTCTGCCGTGAAGCAGTAATACATTTCGATTTGAAGGGTGGGGCAGCCGTTGTACTGTCAAAAAATTTGACCTTAGAACGCATTTCGCAAGGGGGGTGGTAACATTTACGTTATTGATATCTGTGAGCAACGGTTACCACTTAACACCAGGTGGCCCCAGAGCTCGTCCACCTATCAGATCAATAACATAAATATATCATTGCCGGTATCGTGTTACGAATATACCAGCATCGTTGTGCAAATGTTCAATAAGATCTTTACGCTTCTTCGAACAGGTATTCACAACCACCCTCGAGCTGTGGCGGAACTGAAGAGTCTCTGGAACAAGTCGGTTAAGGACAATCTGTCTCTAGTCTGCGTGAAGGACAACGATGACAGTGACCCGACCGTGGTGGGAGTGAATGTCCTGACCGTGATCTCTAAAGCAGACAAGGAGGAAGTCTTTCAGGTCGTTATGAGGATATTTTTTTTCGCTACCTACTCGCTGCTAGCGAGAGCTACTTGCGGCCATGCTAGTGCACGGCGCATAGATACTCCGGCCGAAGTCTCAGTGACATTTGACTAGCGGTCCTCGCGCTCTCCATCCAGACCGGCATGCAAGATTGCGACAAGTTGCTGGTCCGATTCGATGAAGTTCGGAGTACTTATCACTATTTATTTTTTATTGCTTAAATGGGTGGACGAGCTCACAGCCCACCTGGTATTAAGTGGTTACTCCAGTAACATCCATAGACATCTACAACGTGAATGCGCCACCCACCTTGAGACATAAGTTCTAAGGTCTCAAGTATAGTTACAACGGCTGCCCCGCCCTTCAAACCGAAACGCATCACTGCTTCACGGCAGAAATAGGCAGGGTGGTGGACCCGCGCGGACTCACAAAAGGTACTTTTTTTTTTTTTTTTTTCGTGTAGAGGGCCGAACCTCCTACGAGGTCCCCGCGCAAAAGGGGCGCGCGGGGTATGTGAGACTCAACGATCTGCAGGTGTTGAGAGCAGATCGCGGGCCCAAGGCTCACAAAAGGTCCTACCACCAGTAAAAAAACAGAAAGTATGAGAGTGTATTTCACCACGGTTTTTATTCATAACTAGCAACCCGCCCTCGCTTCGCTTCGGAAACATTAAATTCTATTATTGATAGGCGAAGCCCGCCATGTTGCGCGCGGTACGATAATAACTGCGGGTGACGCCGTGGGGTGAAGTTAGTCTAAAAAAGCCTAAGTTACTTCTTATATCATCAGCTACCTATTAGTGAAAGTCTCATCAAAATCGGTCCAGCCGTTCCAGAGATTAGCCGGAACAAACAGACAGACAGAGAGACAGACAAAAATAGTAAAAAAAAATATTTTGGTGTATGTACCGTATATATATATTCATATGCATGTAGTAAAAAGCGGTTATTTCAATACTACAAACACACACTCTAATTTTATTTACATGTATATAGTTAAGCGGACCTTTATAAGCCGGTTTTTAAAAAACTTATCGTAAGGGGTTATTAAAAATTTTACAACACTTTTAGAGTTAACAAGAGTGTAAAGGTCAGATAGCTCTTTATAAATAAGCCCATAAATGACTCCTTTCTGGATTCATTGGAAAAACGGTTGTCATCCCATTCGCCTTGAAACGTAGACTTGCTATTTCATTACAGTTTTGTTTCAGGGCAGTTGCTACTCGATCTTTCACCGTAACTTCGTCATTATAGTGATCCTTTCAAAATTATACAACTTAGAGACTTCATTGAACTTTTTGAGGATGCGTCTTCGCGTCTAAATATGACACCGGCTGACCAACAGTAATTATAGCGCGTTCTAATCCGTTAAAAACTATAAATGGGGAAAATAAAACAATTCACACGGCAACACTCTTTATACTGCCGCCAAATATGTTATTTATTTATGTCCCTACTATATAGGTTTTTTAATTTGTTGATAGCACAAGATAGATCTCGTGTATTTGGTTCACGGAAGTATTACCATCACTCACGGAGTATTTACTATCTTTGTAGTAAATGAATAAATATTCTTGTCTATGAATAAATATTAATTGAATTTTCTCAGTCGGACGACAAGGTCTGGTCCATGCTGTTTGGGGCCGTGGACTTAGTGGCCAGGAGCGTGAATATATTCGAGAAATACGACGTGGACAAATACTTGACTGCGTACGGACTGGTCGTGAACCCTGAGTGGAGGGGCCTGAATATTGGAAAAGAATTGTTGGAGACGAGGTGCCTTTAACGAAGGCTTTTATTGCAATGTTTATCTGATTTTTTTGCTAGTTACGTTAGAAACTCTAATTTAATATACAGACATATTAAGTTGACAACGCTTTAAAAAATTAAGCCTTTTTCGTTTAGTCCCGCTTATGCTGGTTAATGAGGTGGTTAATTAAAAGTTTGGCTGCCAGATAAAACAATGTCATGTTGACATTTAGTGCTGTAAAATCAAATTGTTTGTAATAAAACATTTAGACCATATACACGTTGTTACAACGTTTTTTAATTAATTTATATAAAGCAAATTCGGAGAGTAAAATGATACCGAAAACAAAAAAGAAAAAATGCATTTGTGACACTAAAAATATTTTAAAGAAAATAACTGGTACCCCTGCGCCTTTGGATAAAAGAGAAATTAATGAAATAAGATTGAAATTGTTTACGGAGCGAAACTCTGACGGCACGGGCAGCTTGGTATTGAGAGGAAATGACATTTTTCAAAGATACAACAGAAGGATCACAGACTTTGATATAGGCGCCATCTGCCGCTACGTTCGCGAACTAAAACTTAGAGTGACCAAAATCGACTTGTGCTATAACAAAATTACAGATGTCGGCTTTTTTAAGCTGTTAAAAAAAGTACTCGTGAAAGGAAGATCTAGTGTTTTGGATCTTAATATTATGAACAATGAATTGACTGACAAATCTGTGTTACACTTATCAAAATACGCACAGTTTATCAAGCTTAAATATTTGAGATTGAACGGAAATGATATTGGGACGAAAGGCGGTGAATATTTCGCGGATTTCCTTGAAAACAATACAAGCTTAGAACGATGCGATATCGGCCAGTCGGGACAAACGTTGACTAGCGTTGCTTACATAGTGACTGCGTTGAGAATCGATCATGGCGCCAATCGATATTTGAAAGTTCTCGACTTGAGTAGAGTAGTGCCGCTGTTCAATCGATACCAGTATGAGACGAAGTGGCTAGCGTACCATATCGAATACTTACTAGAAAGAAACGATACGATTATAGAATTGCATCTTCAGAACAATGAATTTATTGGTCACGATATTGAATATGTTTTGAGAGGGTTGAGAAAAAATAAAACTTTACTGTACTTGGATTTGGGTTACAATAAAATAAGGGATTACGGAATAGAATTAATCGCTGAATACTTTAAAGAAAAACCTGAGTTAGTGCTGTTGAATGTCGCAGGGAATAACATTGGAGACACCGGTGCACGAGCACTGAGCTTCGGGCTACCGTTCTCAAAAATACGCGCCTTGGACATTTCGAAAAACAAATTAAACGCTAAAGGAGTTTTGTATTTATTGAATACAATAAAAAAACCAGTGTTTTTGAGGTTTCTTAATTTATTTGGAAATAATTTTGATCAAACAACGTGTGATGTTATCAGCAGAATGTTGTTGAGCGGGGTGCTCTTTCAGCACACGATTGATGTTAGAATTTATGAATCAGGCGGGAGATTACACGCAGCTTATTACCCTAACCCAGCAGATAGGAATAAGCATTTATATTACTGTGAATTAGACTATGGTTGCTACCAACCTATTTGTAAAATTGTTAGGAAAAAAATTGAAGAGAAGAAAAGAGTAAAAGTCGATTGTCAACAACGACATAAGCTTGATAAAACAAATGCATTTGATTTCTAATTATTATTATTTTTCTGAGCACATATTGTATTATTGTAATGTTAAGTTTGTTTATCGTTTATGCATGTATGTTTGTTTTGTATGACTTTTGTTGAGAAAATAAATTATTTTTATGCTTTCATTATTTTTTTGTTTTATTTTGTTAAAGTTAATGATATTTTTTCGGCTTTCGAGTTGTTAAAATAGTTCATTCATTCGTTCACATTCTTTTAAATTAATTTACGTTTTTTCCAGGATCCCTCTATGCAGAGCCATAGGGGTGAAAGTGACAGCCACCGTTTTCACTGCTGGAGCTTCTCAAGCCGTAGCTAAGAAAGCTGGTTTCGAAGTCTTATTCGAAATAACATACGAAGAACTAGCCAAGAAAGGCTTCGTATTTCCGGGGATTGAAAAAGACACGAAATCTTCCAAGCTGATGGCTCTTATGATTGATTAGTTGAAATTAACGCCACCTACCTAGCACATCCTTATGTATACGGCTCTGTCTCACTCTACTGTCACCAATTCTTTTATCGATTCCAAAGGTTACCGATTCAATTTCGAACAGTTTAAAATACTAAAAACGTTGAACTACTGTTTCTGTGATAAAACTGATCTCATTTACATTGACCTATCATGGTAATAAATAGGTTTTACCTCCTTGTCGGTTTTTCACTTATTTTGAGCTATTACTAGCGCCATCTAGTATTAAGGATGATTAGTACGGCTATGAGGCAGAATTGGACTAAGCTATACCTACTAATCAATATTATTAAAAATGTAATCATGCATATTAAACAATATGATTAAACATTATAATAACATATCTTGCGTGTTAAAAAATAAAATACATTTAACAAATTCGGTTTTTTTTTGGAGCCACCTTCGACACGCCCTCCCAAATTACATTAAACAACAAAAATCTGGACGTACTGCAAAACTATTTGTAAATTATAATCTTGTAATAAAATCCATAATGCTATTTATCATAGCAGGTACGTAAAAAAAATGCACGGAAGGTAAAGGCAGACATTATTAAGTTCCACCCATTACTCTAAGGTTCCACCAATACTTTGATTATACTATCCTAATACACTTTAAGCACAAAAAAATATATTTTATAGACATTCTTTGTAGAAATAATCATGACCTCAAATTACTTAATTGGGTACGTTAATTACCATATAATAATTACGTGAAAACTATATTATGTACGTTTAGGACGCTTACATAATACATACATATGTTCATTTTATGTAAAAATAAATGTACAATGTTTTTTGTTGCTATGACGGGGATCATGGCTATTAAGTGTATAATCTATGATCATGGCCTCCTAGATTCCTTCGGTCGCGCATGCGCCTGACGGAACCAAATGTTTCGCCACAATGTATATTAGCATACCATGTGAAGCGGCACGATTACTACCACCATCCTGGCTGTTGTATGTCATTGTATTGAACGGCAGCTAACCCTCGCTTCCTGCGGGTACCTCGCCGCCCTGCGCGGGTAGAGTGACAATATGCCATACTACATAATAAAGCATTTTTATTTCTACTTTGCTTGTTTGTAATGCTAGGTGTTGGATGATATTACTTTTGAGGACAGGAAGCAATGGAGGAACATAGTCCAAATAAAAGTGCTCCGTGAAGGTCACGACCCTCAACACTGATGAACACGACGCAAGAGGGAGGATACTCCCTGATTGTGGAAGCTGTTCGTGTACACGTTGCAAGTAAATATTTCCTTATACAAATTGGGACCCGCGTACGAAATTTGAACGTTGTCACACTCGTATCGCTTGGTATATCAGGCGTCTTATCCACCAGACTAAGATGAATTGTGAAGTGCGGTGGGAGATCTTCCCTTTCACGGTTTTAATGTCTCAATGACACTTTTACTGCTTGATTGTGAACCACTAACGACGTTGATAATAACGTTCTGGAACTTGTTAAATACTATAAGGTACGTTTGAGGTACTAATTTATGGTTCCATAAGAATATAACATAAAATTTATTTACAGTTTGAGATTACTTTTAAATTTTTGGTTTGTGGAATCGCATATTGTTATAAATACTATTTCAAGTACATCATCTTATTTGCCAATTTATCGATATTTAATTTTAGAAAAAAAAACAAAATTAATAAGTAGTTATTTTATTTAACAATTACGAACGATACGATCATAAACATACATACATAACACACAATAAAAAAAAAGTAACAGAATTTCAGAGAGAATAAAAAAAGGATAGCTCATAAAAGTAACGTTTATTGAGGTTGACAACAAAGCCAATCAAATGTCAAGTCAAAGTCGAAGAGGAAACTATTGTCAAAGCTGTCAAACGGTTGTTGACTTTCGCGTGTGTGGGTGTGTCGAAAATAAATTGAATAAAAAAATTACAAAAAACTTGTGCGATAGCGATCAGTGATGTCACAGGTCATATGTGTATTGTGTACAACAAAAATATTTTAAAACGTTAATTCATAAATAAATACATCTTAAACGTAATTGAACGAAAAAGTAGTGACGAACTTCTGTATTGATACGTGCTTAGTTTGAATTCGATTAATGAATGTATGTTTTTGATTGTGTCGTAAATTTTACATTACCTAGTTCTAATTATTATTTTCTTAACATTTTTGGTGTGGTGCAGTGACTTGTCCAATGGAATTTTTAGGCTCTGTCTACCCCCTACAGTGACGGTATGTTAAATCAATTATTAAATCGTATGAAAAACAAGTTTATTATACATGTTGAAAAAGACTTCAAGTATTATTGACCTTTATTTTAAGACTTACACTATTAACATAAAGCACTGTTATCAGAGTATTCTTTGAAAAAAATTGCAGTATTATCATAAGTAGGCTATATCTGAAATATAAAATTCAATCTATTGGAAATAAATAAAAGTACACTTTAGAATTGTATCAGTACATAACAAACAAAAGATAACAATATGGTGTACATGACCCCAAACGATTAATATTTCTTTGCTTTTAGTGTCATGCTTAAACTGCTAGACTCATGAAGATCAAATTTGAATACATGTACAATAATTAAGTTTGAATTGTGGGTCAATTTGTATTTTTTATAATGATAGAAAAAGGCTGGGAATGTTATCCCAGTCTATATGTTCAGATATATCTAAGAACAGACTATTCATTTCATCATTTTGGCAACATCACATTGGTTATAAATACTACTGGCCTGTGGTGGTATAGTATAGGTACCTGCTTGTTTCAGCTGCAAAGCTAACAAAAGTTTGGTGGTTTGTTACATCTAAATTAAAATAAATGTTAAAATTGAAAGATATTAGTTTTTTTTTTTTATAACAGTTTTGTCAATGCAATCATTAATTAAGCTGGAATTATCAGGCACAAATCACTGTTAGTGGCTGATATCATTAAAACTATATTAAACTAACATGTATCTTACTAATAGAAAAGAATGTTGTGATGGAAATTTTAAGTTAAAATAATTTATGATTCTTTGAAATTGTATTGAATTAATATACTGGTGTTTTCTTTCTCATCACACGAATTGCTAACAGAACCGACTTCATACTCATGATGGAGAACCACTGCTGATCCGCATTACATTTTAGTGGACATTTTTGCTAAATACCACCTAACTCTGGTATTAATTCCCCTTCATTGTTTCCTGAATACTATGATATCTCATTCTTTGAACCAGGATTAGAATATACTGCATCAGATTCCCTTGTGATCTCTTATTAACATCCACACTCACAGAAACCATCCAACTTTAAGTGATGGTATCTTCCTATGCCTTGGAAGGCAATAAAAAGAGCTCTAAACCGCACTGGATATTCTAATCGTGTGAAGTTTAGCAGGAAAACAAGCTGAAGCCATGGTGCATTGTGAGCTGGAGTGGTTATATTTCACTCATATTATTATGCTCTAATGATAATTATATTCAAAATTGTCTGTTTCGTTTTCTACAAGTTACATAGTATTATAATGTGTGTCCTGAATTCGATGTAAATATTAATTAAAACATGCTTAGAAAGTATTGTATGAACAAGTGTTTAAAAACTAGGTTTATTGGCCGGTTTCAAAAAAGATCTTAAACACATACCTACTTGATTTCGTTTTCAATTATTATGAATAAAATTGTTATTGTTCTTCCTGCCAAGTTCGGTAGCGCAGATATGACAAGGTCTGATTTATGGATTGAGACAGCCGATATTTATATCTATGTTGTGATGCCCATGAGCTCCCAGCAGTCTATGAGTTAACATCTTGACTTGGCGCTTGTGTGTATATTGGGGTCGTTTGCATCATTGGAGAGTTGTCGTCCCAAAAATCATCCAGTTTTTAATGGGCTTACCTCCTTCACCCCTCCACAATTGTATCGGAAATGTCTGATCGCTTCCACAGTAGTAACAGGCAGGGTGGTGTGACCTAGCCTTGCGGGATTACAATACGTCCTACAGCAGTCAATCTTGTTTGGCGATCACAGTACACTGCTGCCCATGCTCCCGTGAATCCCCTAGTCTCCTTACAATGTCCACCATGAGATGGGGGGATGTTATTCTAATACAGCACCAGACAATCAAATTCTGTTTTATTTTGTTGTACAGAACTTAAGGATGTTCCTATTTATTTATTAATTAATGAATAAAAATAACACTGTGACATACCAGCGCTATAGATACATAAATAAAATGGTTATGTTGTATGTTGTTGGCAGACAAACCCAGGTGTTTAAGAGTCACCGTAGCTACTGGACAATGGTAATGACAGGGGCACAGTCAAGCCTTTGCCTACTGCTGTAGACTGTTGACTTACGTTTATCTTTTGTGTTGCTTTAAATGCGGCTCACTTTTCATCTAAGCAATGAATGAGTAAAGTGAAACTCGGATCCAGAAGCCACGCCGATACGTATTAACTAGTCATAAGTAATTGAGGACAATTAGTGCGGTATACTTCGAGATTAACGAACGGTTAAGTGGCTTGCGTCATTACGAAAATAAAACCAAGAACATGGGAGCTGCATAATATAATATTATTAGATTAAAGAGATGGTATCGAAAACAGCCATGTTTGTTCCAATTTTGTAGCGCATAATATCCATACATCCCAGACCTATATAATATAATAGGTTGAGGGAAAAAGTTTCTTCGCATTTAATTCGAAAATTCACAACATTTTTTAATATATTTACATTTCGTATCGATAAATTCACTCATCTTGACAGTACCTAGGTACGGAAAATAAATAAAAATGACATATTTTCCTAATTTGAATTTGGAATTAACTTCTTTAAAATTTAAAATTTTTATGATACCAAAACCATCATCATCATCATCATCATCATCATCAACAGCCCACAGTCGTCCATTGCTGGACATAGGCCTCTTCCAATCCACACCACTGAGCCCGGTCTGCGGCTCTCCTCATTCACTTCTTGCCGGCCACCGTTCGAAGGT